AGCGAAATCATGAAGGGAGACAAGCTTGGGAGACAAGGCGGCAGCGGCAGCCAAAAGCGAAATCATGAAGGGAGACAAGCTTGGGAAACAAGGAGACAAGCTTCACAGACAAGGCGGCAGCGGCAGCCAAAAGCGAAATCATGAAGGGAGACAAGCTTGGGAAACAAGGCGGCAGCGGCAGCCAAGAGCGAAATCATGAAGGGAGACAAGTTTGGGAGACAAGGCGGCAGCGGCAGCGAAATCATGAAGGGAGACAAGCTTCACAGACAAGGCAGCAGCGGCAGCCAAAAGCGAAATCATGAAGGGAGACAAGCTTGGGAGACAAGGCGGCAGCGGCAGCCAAAAGCGAAATCATGAAGGGAGACAAGCTTGGGAGACAAGGCGGCAGTGGCAGCCAAGAGCGAAATCATGAAGGGAGACAAGCTTCACAGACAAGGCAGCAGCGGCAGCCAACAACGAAATCATGAAGGGAGACAAGCTTCACAGACAAGGGAGCAGCGCCAGCCAAGAGCGAAATCATGAAGGGAGACAAGCTTCACAGACAAGGCGGCAGCGGCAGCCAAAAGCGAAGTCATGAAGGGAGACAAGCTTGGGAAACAAGGCGGCAGTGGCAGCCAAGAGCGAAATCATGAAGGGAGACAAGCTTCACAGACAAGGCAGCAGCGGCAGCCAAAAGCGAAATCATGAAGGGAGACAAGCTTGGGAGACAAGGCGGCAGTGGCAGCCAAAAGCGAAATCATGAAGGGAGACAAGCTTGGGAAACAAGGCGGCAGCGGCAGCCAAGAGCGAAATCATGAAGGGAGACAAGCTTGGGAGACAAGGCGGCAGCGGCAGCGGCAGCGGCAGCCAATTTCCGCAGTCAGGAACCCATCCATTGAGAAGTAAGAACCCCTATAGCTTCCAGCTATCTGGGGAAAAATATAGAATGGTTTTGCCATGGTGAAACCGGAGGTTCACCAAAACCAATGGAACTCAAGCAAATTGAAACACCTGTTGAATGACATTGCTTGTTCTTCCACAATTGATGTCCATATCATGTGTTGCTCCTTTAGGTCATTTGTCGTATTCACTGCACCATCATTATTCCGCAGATTTCCTTCGAGTGACCCAAAGGTTGCGAGAATCCCACTCACCCACATGCGAACATAACACCCGCCGATCCCAAGGCTTCCATCTCCTCTGGAGCCTACGGTTTGCCCAGCAAATCGTCCAGCAAATCGTCGCACAATTTTTGGGTTCTTCCAGAAGTTGGGTTCTTCCAGAATCGGCTTGAAACGAAGGGAGTTGGAGTAGTTGGAGCTCCCGGGGCATCAAAACGGCGAGGTGAAGGAAGACCGTCTTTAAGACGCGTCGATCTTTTTTGCTCCGGCGGTCGACCGAATGCTGAAGGAAAAAGGGTTGGGCAACTGTGTAAGCCCCATAGTGAGACAGTGTCCATGAGGGGCACCTCAATCAAGAAAAGACGATAATAATGACAACAGGGATATATAAGGATGGAGTTCAACCACCAGGGGAAAGCAAAAACATTGCGGAGCCAGGGCGGAGTCGATTCACCAGAGAGTGTGTTTTGAACAAAGTCACTGAGGATTTCGCAAGCCATGCTGTACCCAATTAGGCAACTGGCTCTCTACTTGTTTAAAGAATTATTTTGCACACATCGTCTAGATGGCCCGGCACCTGTCAATCTTTATGTGAACAAAGTAGATGACCAGGGATGTCAAGTGACCAGAATTTGGAAGACACTCAGAGTATAGGTCAATCCCCGATGGGGCCTTCTGGGTCGTTTCTTCCGCGCCTGAGATTCATGATGTTGGTGGTCTGTTGCAGCGTGATGCCCTTCTGGGACATGCCCATGACCATGTGCGGATGCTGGCGAACGAGAGATTCGGATGCCCACTCGAAGGTTCTTGGACTGACCGCACACTTCGGTGCTGTGTCCCTCGTAAGCTGCGCAATCCATCCAATATCACCCAGTCAGGGTGATATCGTCAACCCCTTCAAGAAGGGGAAAGCCACATGGAAGTTCCAGTCGCGTGGTCTCCAAACATCTATAGGATTCAGCGGGTTCAGGTCGCATGTTCAGTGTGACCATTGTCACCTCGTGAATCGCATTCTCACCCCCGACCTTTGGTCCGAGTTGTCCGAAGGACCAAAGAGCAAAGACACGAAAACTTGGCTCCTTCACAAGGGCCATCAAATCGGTTCTTTGCGGGCAAAAGCTGGGTCGCCTTGACGATGCCGAACTGACAGGTTGGCAGTCAGAATCAACGAAGTTAGAATCGGATAGAACCACTTCTGGGACTTTGATTCACCACAAAACACCACCATGCCAGGATGCCAGGTGCCCAAATATGAAACCGCTAGAGAGCTCGCTTTTCAATGAGGAAATCTAGAGTCATATACAGTAGATCTCCGCAAGGAGCTATCAAATATCAAAAATATCTCAAAAGCTCGCGTGCCTCCCGTGCTTTGGTGCTGCTTTTCGCTTTCTCATCTAAGCTCCCAAGGCTTTCCAAGCCCCGCCCAGCCCCCCAAGCTCGCTCCGCCGAACCCCGCGAGCTGGCTTGGCACCATCCGCCGCGCCCCAGGCGCACCGTGCTGGCGCTCCACCGGCAATCGCCCCAGCCGGCCACCGTGAGGCGTAGGGGCTCCCCGGTGCCCGCGAAGCCCTGAGGAGGAGCTGGGGGGGATGGAGGAGAGATGGAAGTGGAAAACCGCTCACCTGTTTATATCCACTTCCATGATTAAATCAGGGAGTGAAGTCATCCTGGGCATAGACTGTGAAATTCCAACACCAATAGGAAAGTGGTCCATGTTTTTGATTGGCTCACTGGTTCTATGTTTTTTGCTTTCCCCTGTGAGATTTGGATCTATAAGGATGAATGAATGGATGATGGATGGACGGACGGATGATCGATGAGGATGGAGGGGTAGAAACTGGATGTCTCATGGAGTGTCAACCTGTGGAACATCTCATGAACATTGATTATAACATCTGAGGGGGCGGGGCCACAACGAAAACCATTGCTCAACCTGGCTGAGCTCCAGTCCCACATCGGGCAGGAGAGTCGCATGTGTTGCCTCATCTTTTGAGGTAATAGGCTCTTAAATGTCAAGGAAAAAAGTAAAAACCATCCAAAGGAGAGATGTGGTTCACATGATGAGGCTACGCTAAAATTATCTTCGACCAATTCAAAACTCCTAGCGCTTGGGCAGCGCCACTTAGAGCGGCCCGTCAGCTCTACACGCAGCGTCCGACCCGCAAACTGGCCGCTGTTTTCAGCTCACGGTGTTGGGGGTGCCAGCCAGTTCGAGGTTTCTGGAGATGGTGCGGTGTGCTTGGATTTGTGGATTTGGAAGGGCAAAAAGAACGCGATTGACCCATAGGGCAAAGTAAAATCATCCAATCAGCAAAACCTTGCAATACCTAAGTGTGTTGTGTAGTAATATGTACAGTATATTGGTAAACACATGTAAGCACCATCCATATTGCTGATGGGTCCCCAAACATCTCAGGTTGAGCTCAATGCTCGTTGCCCAAGTCCGTCCAGGAAACCCCCCTGTGTTTCTTCATGCAAATCTCGGCGCCGATGCGAACGCTCAGGTCGCTGGTTCTGAGGTTCGGATGTTCCCGGGTTGATCTCACGACGCCCGAGCTTGCTGGGTCGATCTCATCGATGATCGAAAGCTGCCTTGAGCTTGCTGCTGGTGGTCGCAAAGGGCCTGGGCTTCTTGGGCCCTGAAGGTCCCACCATCCAGGAAGCTGTACGTACAAGTCCCAAAGCGGTGTTTCCGTCTGAAGTGACTTCGACCGAAGCGGGGACTTCGGGGCAAAAAATGGTTCTCTTTCCCTCTCTATCTTTTGGATGATATAAACTGATTCAAATTCATGTTCATTGCTTGCTTCTCTTCAACCTTTGCAATGTTATGTTTCGGTGCCCTGTGGTTCCCTTCAACCCCTGGAGCACTTGCATCACTGGGTCCCTGAAAAAAGCTCCGTCTGGTCCTGCTCTGAGCATGCCGGACGGATGTGTCTCAGAGTCCACCCCATATTCCCCTGCCAGCCGGTGCAAGAACAGTGCAGGAACGGTGGTCGTCGTAGATAGACCAAGGCCCCCATCCATAGACCGAGCGAAAGTCCGGTTCTTCCCCCGGCAGGTATAGAAGTATACGCCTTTGATTGAAAAGAAAGACTCTGCAGTGAGGCAGTCAAGTCAAAGGGTGAAAAACAGGTGAACGAGGGAGTGACGCAGCCTCACAAAAGCGTGGTTGCGTGAGTATCAACTTGTCCATGATTTGGTCATTCTTGAGATGAGAAACGTGTAGAAAGCTACTGTTTCTCTCGCATGCCATTGCCCCGCTGCCGCTGCCAAAACCCACCACACCTGTCCATCCTTTCACACCGCTTCGGCTACTCCGCACACTGCCCGCACGCGAGGGCGGCGCGGAGATATTCTTCCTGCCGGGAGGGGCGACACAAGAGTCTGTGCCCGTTCCTGGACAGCGCTCTCTTTTTCGCGGAGACCAAAAGAAACAATCGAAGCCTGAGCATCTTTCCGGTATGAAGCACACACACACATTCTCTAGCTGTAACACATCTTCCCATCATCTTCCTACGGCTCATCTCGGTGACCGTGCCTCGTCCGTTTGGGCTCTGCAAAGTCTCGGGGCTTCGCACGGGTGAGGAAGCCTTGGGCGCAAGAAGAGCGTGTGGAGCGAGAAATCACAAGAAAAATCCAGGTGTTGTGACCTCCCTGGTCGACCGGTTTGACCAGGACACTTCTGCGCACCCGGCTGGGACAAGTAGAATAGGGCATCTGCATGTCGCCAAAAGGCGACATGACTCATCTTCATGCACATGCAACCCTTGGAGTAGATGGAATGTAAGCAATCAGGCCTGGCGTCCCCGAAGAACGACCTGGAGAAGATGCGAGGCTTGGGCCCATCCAATCTACCGAGACCTGATATTCTTGGATGTTTTGGGAGAGTGCCACCCAACCTGTTAAAAAAGAGAAACACAAATGTAATGTTAAAAATCAATCAATTCCGGGAAACCATGTTGCTGAATCATCACCCAGAATGGTTCAAGGTACGAGTTCAGGCACCCTGGCCGAAGTCGTGCTCGTAGGTGGAGAGCATCTCGGAGCGGTCCTCGCCGCCACGGCGTGGGGAGGCTCCGCTTGGCGTGTCCGGCCGTTCTTTCCCAACGGACGCGGATGGTTCACGACGGCCCCGGTCGATGCCCCGTCGACCCAATGTCGACCCGGGTTCTTGTGCGAACATGAAGAAGTGAAGTGAGGGTCGACGTGGCGAGAAAAACATGGCCGAGGGTCCCAATCTGTCTGGTTTGCTTGAAGAAACGATCCCTGGCAAACAAACCTAGAATTTGTTTCAAGTACAAGTGGGTCTGCAAAATGTGGACAAATCTATAAATCTGGGTCCCCCAATTGACAATCTTAGAATCCCAGCGAAATCCGATTCTGGATGGTGCATGATTAAGCCCTCCAGTGCAGACCAAGACACTGCCATCTGTCGCAGATGATGCTTCACCGCTGCAGTCCTGGCGGATGGCGGGTCTATCCGCAGCCACCTCCCGGGCATGGCCTTGCTGGGCGAGGAGAGAGCTAGAACGGAGCACGGTGATATTTTCGAGGGGTTTTCTTGTTCTTGGAGAATTTTGGTGTGAAAATGTGACTTTTCATAATTAAAGGTCTGTCTTTCAGTTTTGTGAGGAGGACGAACACCTCCCTAGCTTTGCAAGTTCAAGACAGTGTTGGATCTTGATGAATAAGTTAATCCCACAATCATCCCCCTTTGCGGTGGTGCCTTTGAGCATCCTGGAGTTGAATCTCTTCGGGGGGCTGCCATTGATCCAGCTCCTATCTGCAGGCACTCTCATTTCCCTCAAACCCTCCGTCCTGTGTAGATGCTGATGGGTCTCAGTCTCACGGATGTGCCGAGGATACACCTGCCAGGTGCTTTCATGAGCTGCCAGTCGCCAATGCAGTCACTATATAACTTCTTCGTTTGAACATACATTCCCATGAGGATTCCCCCAGGATGAGTGCACGTGCAGGATTCAACAGATGAGTCCTGGTTGAGGAGTGTGGGGGTCTCCCCGCGACATCCCATCACGATGTGCAGGGAGAAGATACGGGGAGGGTGCTTGGTTGCTGATCGCTGCGTTTCGAAGAGTCTTCTTTCCTGCTCATGAAACGAAGGGCGGACTGAGGTTTCAGCCGAAGTCGAAAATGACATTGGCCCCACAGGTCCTGTCCAACCCAGTGAAACCCTGGTCCTGAAAGCCTCGTTGAGTAGTGTTTTTGTATGATCAACTCTACTAAAATGAGGTCAAACTGACCTGGAACAGATCTGGGTTGACCTCGTTGAGACACGGACGACTTCCGGTGCTTTCTCAGCCTTTCTGGTGCCACTGGGGAGGTGACAGTGGGGTGGGGAGAAGGGCGCCCGTTCGGCGTCCGGATGAAGGCGATGCTCAGCCCAAGGCCCTTCCGTCAAGTCAAAGTCGAAAAGCAGTGCTTAAGGCTTAAGGACTCTTGAGGATTCAGGCTGGCCGCAGGATGTGGTCCACTTCCACAACTGGTCTTGCTTTTTGGAACCGCTTCAAGAAATCCTGCAATTCCATGAGGGCATGAATGTCTTGGGCTCCAAGAACTGCGTCGAAGAGTGCGTCCCCTCTCGGACGCATCCAGCGCCGAAGAGCAATCCCCGGCCCACAACTTGGTTTTGCTGTCTAGGAAGCTGGCAGAAAATAGACTTTAATCAACCATAATAAACCGTATCCCCATGTATCCCCCATGCCAACGGGATTCACCCAGTTCGGGAAAATAAATAGGAATCAACCCCAAGATACCTGATCTTACCTGATCCGCAAAAACCACGCCCACCTATGCCCACGTTGCGGCCTGGATGTCCCGCACAACTCGGCTTCCTCCGCGGAGGTCATTCCACTCACCTGCCTGTTCCGCGCGGTCTGTACGGTCGCGCGAAGCGGGGCAGGAGCTGCAGAGTCCCAACGAAAGAGTTCTGAAAGCTTCTGTGCAAAAGTCATATCGTGAAAAAGAGATACTGTACTGGACACGCCGTGAATGACAACCACACCAAGGGACTGCCATACCCAAACAGTAGCAGACGTTTACCTACTGAGACTCTGGGGGCATACATCCAGGTGGACTCATCAAAGGTGTTCCAATGAACACCTGGCCCGTCTGCCACATCCGTTCACCCAAAGCCATTTTGGCCCCTCCTCCACGCCTTGCCCATCAACAACCCAAAGAAAAAGAAAAGAAAGACGTAACCTCTTTTTGTCGGGGCTCTTAAGAGAACACCTGCATGGGCCAGCAGGCAGCAGGTCGACCGCGATGCGCGGCGTACACCGAGGATGCGTCGACGGGTGACGGGCACCGGAGAAGGGTCTCAAGCGGTGGGGGTTCGGGACCGGGACAGGCACCGTGGTTTGGATTGAAGTTTGGGACAGGGGCGTGGGCAAAGGTGTTTGGTTGATTTAAGGGACCATCCATTGGGGAGGGGGAGGGAAACACAAGAAGAAAGGATGTCAAATCACTGAGAATGTCCTTTTACCAAAGAAACCCTTCACTTCCAAAGTGTATCCATTACACAACTGGAAGGTTTGAAAATCACCTTCGATTCCTATCGTTTGAACGGCTGAATAACAGGTGCTGCTCCGTGGTGGGTGGGTGAAAAATGTGTTTTTATCCCATCAGTGACGCCCCGACGCTGTGCTTGGCGCTCGCACGGTGAACTGGTGTTCCTTCCCCCGAGGAAACAACCTGAGCCGAGCAAACCGAGGTGTTCCTCGTGGCGCGGCGCAAGAAACGGGTGTTTTTCCCAAGTCTAGTCGTCCTTCAGCCTTGGTCAAGTCAAAAGGAAGATCCTACGAGCTCGCTTCTGCATTCGACGGTATGCCCAAATGCATCCATGGGCCCAGGGTTTTCCAGCTGGTGTGGCTGAGTCGGCAGGGCAGATTCCTCAGAGTAGTTTCCTTTTTTGGATTGCAATGGTGTGTCTTTGATTTCTTGGGCTAAGGCCGTGCTTGTTTGCGCCTGCTTCACGCGTTTGGTAGCCCCCTTGTTTGTGCAAATTGCTTTGTCAATGTCTGGGGGTGGTAATCTACATCTTTAAGCAAGCGGGGAATTGTTGAGCAAACTACCTCGACGCTGCGCAATGATAGGACTCCACCAGTTTGGTTGTGGACATTACTGTACTTTGTCACCGCCCGGAGCAGGCGATGTTCATACTTGGCGCTGAGCAAGGTTCGTGAAAGTGTCGTTCAACCTGGTTCTTCACGCTTCTTGTTGCCAGCGGCCTCAGTCTGTTGCCAATACCTTCCCGTGCTGGGACAGACGTGCAACTAGTGCAACCAGTGCTGGCCACACTGTTGAGGCCGGAGCTATCACGCAAACGCCTGTGCAGCACCTACCCACTGATGGCCTGATGGACCTGTGTTTTCTCAGCTCAGCTCGGCTCGCCGAGCTATCACACTCGAACAACGTCGCCCGAGTGTGATCCGCCCACCTCGTCGAAGCACGACGTCCTTTAGACCAATCAGACGCAGGTCTGATCGTCCCCATTCCGTTCCCGCCCTGGGCGTCCCGAACGGGGCCACGGTGTTCACGCAGATCTGGAGTTCCGAGCCAAGGATGTTGGTCCAAACGTGTTGCCCCAGAAATGAACCACATGGGCGGCATTGGTTGGTAATGTCCAAAGATGTCTAGAGATGCACACAACCCTCAACCTGTGGGTGGCTCACGAATTTCTAAGATTAGCTTCTCCCTCTGAATGTAGGTTGGAGGCCATTGCTATTAGGTTGGAGGTCATTGCTTCTAGGGTGGAGGCCATCACTAGTTTCAGGCATACTTGGAGAGTGAATCTAAGTGCAGGCTCAATCACTTCCCCTTGCACCACCTCATGTGGAGGTCTAATGGATCCGGCTGCTGGTCCCAACACATCCCCTCCTCGCGTCCCCTGGATGTGGAACAGCCACTTCGATGGGTCAAAAAGACATGCTTTGATCGCTCATGCATCCTCCTCACCTACACTTGCCGTGCCTCACTTACACTCCGAGTCACTAGCATGGAGATGGAAAAGGACCACCTGTTCAGTATATCTTCGGATTGCATATAATCATACTTTGGGGGCCATGCCCTCCAAGCCGCCGGTCGGGCCGGGCCCCCCCCGACGGCTTGTGGCGCTAAGCCTGACGGGTTTGTCATGGCCTGGCGACGCAGGCCATGACTGGACTGTGGAAAAAGAGCGGGAACTCTATCAAAGAATCGTGTCATAAAGCATAAAGGTCACAAGTCATAAAGCGATGCTCTAGACTCTAACTAATATACCTCCTGAGGTTTGGAGTGTGCAGAAGAATCTTCTTTACGCCCGCTACAGAGAGATGGGGTTGGATCCCAAAATCAGCATGCAGGACACTTATATAGTGATTGTACTTTTGTGCTTGTGCCGCTTTGCATCCTTGCTTCCCAGGGGCCCATTCTTTGACATGTACAGTAATTGCTCAACAGCTCAACCCCTTCGGTGGTCACGGGTCTTGTGCCTCCACTCACCCGTTCTTGGGCAGAAGTGATGAGCCCATTGGGCCAGTTGTCTCCCGCTTCGAAGCACACCCATCACCATGAGGTAGAAACAACCATCAACCACCAAACCGACCCTCACAAAGGCGTGCAAACACGCCTGCTGCCTCGCCGGCGGGGAAGCCCCAAAACAGCTGCGGTGTTTGGTTTGCGCCGAAGGCATTGACGATTGATGAATGATGCAACAGCTGGACACGGACATTCAAAACCTGCAGCCATGCAGGTAAGAATCAGCTGCAAGGCTTAAGCGTCCTTATCCCAAGTTGAAAAAAAAAAGTGAGGTTGGTCAAAAGCCCCAAAAACTCTTACTGTATCCCCTTTGTACTCCTTCGGGGGTGGCCCATCGTCTTCATGAAAGCGTTCGGGATGAGAGACCCCTCCACCACCGTCGGTCATGCTTCCGGCGGTGCAAATGAAAGAAACGCACCCGATGTGCGGTCACCACAGACTAAGTCAAAGAGATGTTTGGACCAAAGAGAGCTCTCTTCTTGGAGGGTTCCAAAAACTACAGTCGCTGTTGGAGGGTGGCATAGATATGCCAAGTGTTGCGTTTTCATGAAGTGAGAGGGCAATCTCAAAAAACAGATTGGACATCATGACCTCAGCCTGAAGCTTGGAAGGCGTGCCCCGGGCTCAATACATCAAGGATTGTGCGATGCTCCTCATAGGTGTGGTGTGTGCAGTGGGGAATCAAATACCCTCTGTATCCCTGTGTCATCCAAAGTGGATCGGCCCGAAGTGATTCCTGACCTGGTCACTCGTGGCTCCTGACCTGGTCACCGAACTCCCCGGTCGCTCGTTTTTTGGGCAACGTCAGGGGCCTAAACAGTCGAGGGAGCACCACCTCAAAGGCGGCGGCCAATGCTCTTGGAGACCTGAAGAGAAGAGTTGATACATGTTTGAGTATTCTTGGTAAACAGATGGAAAAGTGTCCCCCTTGTTGAAAATGCATTGGACACCGTTTCCATCCATTTGGCAACCTCGATCTCGCAAAAATTAAGGTGTCTTGGCCCATTGGCAGCGCTCAGAAGGTCTCAGCTCTCCAGTCAGAATTGACCAGCCCAGGAAAGTGCTCTCGACGCTAGCCGCCCAAGCATGGTGAAGTCATGGCTCTCTCCATGGGGCAGAAACGCCCCGCGTTCGGCCACGCCCGCCGATGGGGCCCTGACCCGTCCGCCCCGACCGGTGCAAGGGGCCCAACCGGAGACCAAGGACCAGCACCAGTCACGAAGAAGCGGTTTGGAGGCTTTGGAGATCGTGAAGCTCCGACACATTGACACCATGAGGGCGGAAATGGGAAGTGTTCCGATGCTTTTCCCATACTTCGCGTTTTGCACCGCACCGAGTTGGAAGGGCAGGGGCTTCTAGCGGCTGGGTCCCCAACAGGCACTGGAGCTGTTTGGCTCAAAACTTACCCGCTCGACCCGTCACGCGATGACCTCGTGTGCGGCATACAGGCATTGGATCAACGTCAGAGATGGGGTTGGGCATGACAGGCATGATACTGTTGATGGAAAACTGTTGTGGGGGTTGTCCATTGAAATACGATGATATACAGTAGAACAGGCTGATCCCATTCGTCCTAGGTCCAGGTCCAGAGGCGCAGGCATATCGATAGGCTCAACATCATTCTCGAAGGATCCCGAACAGCTAGCATGTTTGGCATGACACTCCCTTAATACTCATGGTTACGTGGATGGCACCACCTGTTTGGTATTGGGATGACCATGGTCATCCCAAATCGGGGCCCATGCCATCCACATAACAGGGCCATTCTTCCCCCAGGTGTGACACCTAGCAGGGCACCTTCAGGCACCGGGTGCTTGTCACAGGAAGGTGGTCATATTTCACGCGTTCTGCACGCCTTCTCCGGCGGAGAAAACCTGCTTCATCATAGGCCTTCCCCTCCAAAACCTCTTTAAGCATGAAGTCCCCACATGTCCCGACGAGCTGGGTCAGACCTCTTTCCACCCAACATGCAAAATGTTTCAAGTCATCGAACCCCTAGCGACTACAATTGGGGTCCAAGAGCTGGGCACCGTTCCTCCTTGCGATCCGTCTGGGCCCAGGCATGATATACCCCAGGCGCCCACACCATCAAGGGGAAAAACTCCAGGCAGCGTCTCTGAAGCTTGGCCCAGGGGGCGGAGTCCTGCGTGCAGGACGTGTGTTCACGCTGGCAGGAATCGTTTGGACGTCTTCAGCTGGTGAAGATGAGGGTCTTTTGGCTTTAGAAGTGTTTGCCCGCAAAAACCACGCCTTTGCTCGCCAAAACCTGGAAAATGATCTACTGTATATCGTTTTCTGTCATGGGATATATTCCAGCACGATTGTGCTCTCGAAAAACCTACTGTTATAAGTCTCCAAATGAGGATGATTCCTGGCCCACATGTTTGGTGTACATGAGCTACTTGGGCTCAACAACAAGACTTGCTCGACATGCCGGAACACATCAAGGCGTGTTCGGACCCTTCGAAGCTTGGCACCAAAAAAAGGGATGCATACTGCGAAGCCCTGGGACCTGGGACGACCGGGCGACCCACACACGACAAGGATACAGGCAGTAGGCATACAATGTTATCCAATACAGATTTGAAGGGCGGTTTCTATCTGCTTGGGTGGCACTCTAGTCAAATGATGAAACCCTGGCCAAAGCCAAAATAGAAACAACGCTATTCGATCCGTTTTGAGGAAACGCCCTGCGATGCCGTCCGTGCCCAAAGGTCACCGACTCGGCCTTGCCGAACTCCTTCTCCAAGTAGGCTAGCAGTTTCCTGCTCTCCTTCAAACTCATGGCCTTAGGGACTCTCTTTCTGCACGGTCCATCTGGACTGGCGAAAGGAAGTCAGACGCACGGACCCGGGCGTCCGACGCCGACGCCTTCGACCGAGGGGACAGCATCCTCAAAGGGATGGGCGTGGGGAATGACGATCGTTTCACGGATGGTAGGATGATTCCTACCATTCAGTGGCGGCCCATTTATTTGAGGGACAAGTTCTCTACAAACATCTCCACACCTCAAGAGGTGTTTTTGGGGTCGAGTGTGCAACCTCACCCTTGATATATTATATAGGATATTATAGGATAGGTGTTTAGTTCATTTGGAGTGTCCGGTTGCAGGGAATTGCATTGAAACTCTCGATGAGCTGAGAAGAATTTACCCTCAGTTGATCTCCCAGGATGAATTTCTTCGGGAAACGAAAATCAGACGCGGGCCCTGCGGCAAAAATAGATTGGCGAACCATCACGGTGGCAGTCTTCTTGTCAAGTCTTCAGAGATTGCTGGTGCTAGGCTGCTAGGTACTGGAGATCTGAAAACAAAATATGACACAAAAACAAGAAAACAAGACTTTGGACCATATCCATTTGATTCCATTTGTATTTATATAGATGCTCTGTTCGATACTCTTACGGTGAGGCCCCAATGGAACCCCTTTCAACCGAATTCAATGCTCTCGGTCGAAACTGACCGCACCGTCCAAGGCACTCCTTGAGGCTGCCAAGCCTCGCGATTCGGGGCGTGCACAAAGCCCCTTGCAGAATCCGTGATGATAGTGGCTAGAAGCTACTAGGTTGGAGGCCGCAAAACCGGAGGACACCCTCCCTCAAGAGTTACCGAAAAATCGGGGATCGTGGGAAAAGTGTCCTCAGAATCAAGCAAAAACCATCAAAAAACACAGTACTGTAGAACGGGATGTTGGAAAACACCGGACAATCATCATTCCAAACGGCATGAAACACAGGACAATCCAGTTTGACCCCCAAAACTGGACTTGACTTCATTCCGCCTCCAGCACAGCCAATCGATCTCTGCCAGCAGCTTTGAGGCATTTCAGACCTGAAGGCTCGGAATCTGCAGCCCAAATGAACGGTTTGGTTTCCAACATGATCCCCGTGAAAATGCGAAGGGTCACGGGGGTGGCATTAGGTCACGGAAATGGAAAAAGGACATGAAAAAGGGGGACAGACATGCAAGTGGAACCGACCCACTTGCTCGAGGAACGTCAAACCAAGGGACCTGTTCAGTTCCACTCTCCGGTGTTGTTGGGAAGAAGGGTACCCATAGCCGTGCTTTTTTGGCCTCAGATGTTCACCCCCCAAGAGACCCCTGGCACATGGTGAAATAAGAAAACCAAAGTGATTTAACTATATAGTACCACAAGAACCTCTACGTTGCCCGCACTGTTTGGAGGAAAAAAGGAACTCTTAGCACATGGGTCTCTGACCCTTGACGAAATCCACAATTCCCGGAACGCATGGAAAAAGCAGGGATCCTCGAAAACATGCCCAATCCAGGGTTTGAAAAGAACTGATTAAGCTTATGTATTTTGAGCTGCTGCTGGTGAACGGGGGGATACAGTAGCGCACTGTATGATCTGATCTTGACCTGCTTGGCAAGATTGTCCAAACAACGTCCAAATGTCAGTCATGACACCCACTACCCCCACTCAACACCAAAACAACTTGCGTGTTGCATGCTCAACCTTCCAAACAACCTGCTGAATCAAGTTTGACCCATGGTACAACATGTCTGATGCAGTGCAAACCCCTGCAATAAACAAATCACTTTGATCCGCGCCAGTTGAAAATCCATGTCACTTGTCGATAGACACATTGCTGTGCCAAGGATGGATAAATAAGACTTGTGGTGTGAGGGGTGGTCCTTCTGCACGTTCTCTCAAGCCAGGAAAGCAGGACCTGTTTCAAACCAATGGAAGCCATCTTCCAAGGTTCCATAAAAGCATTCTATATAAATCGTAAACCATGATAAACCATCATAAAGCATCCAATCATCGGAGGTCCTCAAGGATCCTGAATTCCGTTGGAACACTTCGCTGGACTCTCCATACCTTCACTCCATCTGAATGACGCTCGTTTGACGCTCCAGGTCCCACGCCATAAAGCACCTCGACCAGAAAAAGGTCGTTGGTCGTCTGAGGCGCAAATACACGCCCGTATGCACAGCGTGTAGGCCCAAACTCACGAGACCACGTACAGTTGAAGGCCCCTATTGAAAAAAGCCACCTGAAGTTGTGGCAAAGGTGCCAAAGTGCACCGTCTTTCCTAGACTTTAAGTGCTTCACAAAGTCTTTCCTCCGTGCCGCGGGTGCGGCGGCTGAAACTGAAGGCCCGCATCCTATCAACTTTAGATGTTTTTGAGCAGCAGAAGTATCAAGTCAAATTAACCAGCACAATTTTCCGGCAAGCCAGCAAGCGACTGTGGTCCCGGACAGCATGCACCCATATCTGAATGGAAGAATTACTAATGACGTTGGCTGGATGCTGCTAGTAGCAAGCGTGTTGATTCTGAATCTTGTTTGTGTGATCATTTCCTCGCCTTGTTGTTGTTGTTGTTGCTGCTGCTGCCGCCGCCGCTGCTGCTGCAGCTGCTGCTGTTGTCATCCTTGGATGTTGTTGGTAGAAGCAAAGTGAGGTGCCCAAGATCATGGTCCAACAACGTTGAGAGTCCACAACTACACAACCACTGCATTACGAGATCCCTACCACTACTGCTGCCGCTGCGTCCGGCTGCTACTTATACTGCTACACCTGCTCCATATTCCTATTCCTATTCCTATTCCTACTCCTACTCCTACTCCTACTACTACTACTACTACTACTACTACTACTACTACTACTACACGACGGCGACCACCACCACCACTGCTACAAGTAGAGGAGTAGGAGTAGGACTTGGAGTAGGACTTGGAGTTGGAGTTGGAGTTGGAGTAGGAGTAGCGGTAGTAGTAGTAGTAGTAGTAGTAGTAGTAGTAGTAGTAGTAGGAGTAGTAGCGGTAGTAGTAGTAGTAGTAGTAGTAGTAGGAGTAGGAGTAGGAGTAGGAGTAGGAATAGGAATATGGAGCAGGTGTAGCAGTATAAGTAGCAGCCGGACGCAGCTACTACTACCAGTACTACTACTACTCCTCCTCCTCCTCCTCCTACTACTACTACACGACGGCGACCACCACCACCACTGCTACAAGTAGAGGAGTAGGAGTAGGATTAGGTGTTGGAGTTGGAGTTGGAGTAGGAGTAGCGCTAGGAGTAGTAGTAGTAGTAGTAGTAGTAGTAGTAGTAGCGGGTGGTCAAAAAGCAACCGCGTCTCCTGTCTTTCTGTCGACCCCCTCTATTAGAGATTAGAGACAAAGAAGAATGATGTCTATTGATGTAGCTCCAGTCTTTGTTGGGACAGTGAAACGAAGAGAACTCGGAATGAGTTGTCCTTTGTCATGACGAATCCACCACATGTCCAACAATTGACATCAATGACTACAGCAACTTCTTGGGCGCTTCATCGCCATTGCCTCAAGCTTATATAGATTTCCTTGTTCGGCCACGCCTTGTTGTTCTTTCTCGCTTTCGCGCCTACCGTCCGTGCATTGTGCTTCATTTTCTCGCCATAGAGTGTTCCTGCATAGGGGATCAACTGAGCTGTGCCTCAGTATCAGATCATAGCCTATAGCAAAAAAACAAAATGGACGTTTAAAATAATCCTCGGCCGTGCGTTACTTATTGTTATGGTTGTTGGCAGCTTGATCCATCTTTTATGTCCCTAGCCGTTTTTCAAGACAGCTGACTTTGATGTGTAAAATCCTTTGTAATTAACTTAGTAAAACACTGCTCGTTCGGTAAAGGCAATCAAATCAATGGCCTAGGGCATACTTTTGCTGGTTGCCTGGCAAGCCCGATGCATCCAATAGTGCAAGCGTGCTAGCGCTAGAAAGAGCAGCCGAGGCCGCGGCCACTGGTCAGCACCAATGGAAGCCATCAGCCACAGCATCAAGCACTAATAGACAAGGGACGAAAACCAACCAAAAAAAAGGAGATTGCCTTGCCCCTCCTGTTAGTCTTTAGTTCCGCTATTGCCCTGCGCTTTCAATTCAAAGAACATCCCTTAGATTCACTGTGCCGTGGAGGCTCCCGTCACGTCACCCACATTCATCCGCGCGAAATCGCAGCCACCGCAGCCACTGCGGTCATGCGGGGTCGTGGGGTTCACACGAAGTCCTCCGCTTTTCTGGGTCACAGGAAGTCCAAGAGGTCGGCTGAAATGCAAACAAAATTCTCCGATGTAGGGCACACGAGCCAAACCAAAACATGATCCAACTCGTCAACTCTGAAGGACCCAATTAGGAGTGTCCTAAAGACTTCGTTTTCGACACCGGAGGGGTCCCGACTTCGGGGGCGAATGACGCTCCGCCTTGATCTTCTGCTCCACGGCGTCCACCAGCTTTGAAGCCGCCTGCGACCGGAGGCCGTTGGAGGCCGGCCGCCTCCCTACTCCATGAAGTAAGGCACCCGACTTAATGAAGCAAGGCAACGAGTTCGCTACGTCACGTTTGCTTCCAGACATGGACGCTGGATAGCTGCTTCAAGGAAGCTCCCTCCTCGAGGGTGGGGGGAGCTTCCTTGACGAAGCTTGGAGCCTCACACACCTCACACACCTAGTCACCACTTGAGACCAATTTAATCCAATTTATAGAGTATATAATTCGAGTCTTTTCACCAGGGACCACCGAACCAATGGAGGTGGACCGGAGATGTCTTTTGGGAGGGAAATGTCCTGTCAATTTTCAGGTGTGGCTCAAAATAATAGGACCAGCGACAAACCATGGGTGTTTCGTCATGTTCTCCATTGACCGGTTTTTGGGGCGGTGCCCTATGTGTGGGGAGCCATCTTTCAGGTATGGTCGACGAACAAAGACTTGGCATCCGCAACTCCGACTTCAGAAACGGTCTTCGCCCAAATCTTCCACCAAACTTATATCAAGGTTGGAGATTTGGCACTGAGTGTGGTCGGATAACTGCACGGAAACACATGGACCGTCCAAAAGACTTCAACAGTCCAACCTCAAAGCTCAACACTTCTGCCATCCTGGCCACTGCAATTGGCTTCACACCTCCAGGCCCTTTCAAGTGCGCCTCCTTCATCTCGGCGGCGGACTTAAAAGGCACGGCACCTGCGGCTTCGCTCGAGAGCTTGAGTAATTGAGCCATGTGGCATCATGGAAGCCATGGTTTCGTGATTCAAAAGCGCAGCGCAACACAACCCAAACCTACGTACCATGAAATCTGTGAACATGCGGGTGACACCCATTCTGCGTCGTTCTTTGTTCATTCCCTCGTCTCACGCGGTGGCTCGTTCCCTCGTCTGTGGTGCATCGCCTTCGTCGCTCCGGATGATCACGGCGATCTCGGCGAAGACCTGATGACGGGACAGGTGGGACAAAAAGGCGGAACACCATCGAATCAATGGAGATCCTCAAGTACACGTCCCAAATCCTCTCAGAAGTAAAACTAGTTGACTAGTTGAGGAATGAGGAAGAAACAGTAACAATTAAGGTAACTAACTTGTCTTTCTTGGTACTGAAGCTGTCAACATTTGGATTGCTGGCCTTGATGGGTTCATATGTGCTCGGACCTGAGCCCTCTCACAATGAAAGGTCAACCTTCGACCACGTCTTAGGGCTGAGTGCGCAGGAGTTGACTAGGCCATGGGATAGGTGCATACCACGTCTTCTATCAGGTTCATCAAAAAGCTTTGTCAACTGTGAAAGGTATATATTTTCAGACAACGGCAACTGAGACCAATATGCAGGTCTTTTTGGGGATTTCAACATCGGTGGTTTTGCAGATCATACTTCACTGCTTAGAAGCAAGCTTCTAGCCTTCAGAGGTCTCCAAAAGAAGGGGCTTCCCTGTTCGATCTGGCTGGAGCTCAAAAACAAAAGACTCAGGGACAAACAAGTGTATGATTTACCAGATAAGACCCTGCTTTCGAGCCATGTTGCCATCTACAGGCCCTTCTGGTGCCAAGCTAGGGCCATTCTAGTGCGGTTTGCTTGTGTCAGGTGTCAGCACGTCCGAAGCAAGTAGCCGTGCCTTGGCAAATGACACATATATGCTGCAGGTGCTTTGTCTGCGCAGCTGGATGGATGGTTGCTCTAGGTGATCAAAAGGAACAAGAAAAAACATCCAATATAGAAGAAAAGATTGGAAAAGAAGAAAATGATTATTGCTATTGTTCTTATTATGATGAAGGAAGAACCCTGTTGGAATGGAGCCGACTGACTTCCACCGGTCCAAACCGCGACCCCACCCCAAACTGGTCGCCCAAGGGGCCACGTCCGCCACCTGCTCCGGGATCTCAGTCCTTGGTCGTGGGGGTCGAGTCGTCCGATTGGGCCGGGGGAAACATTTATTACTATGGAGTAAGGCCGCTACTAGTAGATCTAGTAGCGTCCTTGCTTCTAGTAGCGATGCCTTTTGTTCCTAGGAGCTTCTTGTTACTAGCCCCAAAAGGTATTCTCAGCAATCGAGAACATGGAACGCCGAAACCTGGCTGATGGAGGACAATCTTCGCACATTCATACAAATGTCTATGTCAGTCAGGATTGCAAACTTTGATGTTACTTGGGGCAGGGGGGGGGGGGCGAAAGCTAGCGCTCCAGAATGGGAAAGTGGAGGGCAGCGAGGTAGGAAAAAACACGGCGCTCTTTTCGGAGGCAGGGGTGAAGAGTCCTTTATATGTGGTTCTTTGCCCGGATCCTCCTGCGAGAGAAGAGGGAGAAGAGAGACGGAAAGACGAGAGACAGAGAGGAGAGAGAGAGAGAGAGGAGAGAGAGATGAGAGAGATATGAGAGAGATGAGAAAGAGATGAGGGAGAGATGAGAGAGATGAGAGAGAGATGAGAGAGAGATGAGAGAGATGAGAGAGAGAGAGAGAGACAGTGAGAGTGAGAGTGAGAGTGAGAGTGAGAGAGTGAGAGTGAGAGAGTGAGAGTGAGAGTGAGAGAGTGAGAGGGAGGGGGGGGGGGCTTCGACCTGAAAAATCAGGGGTTAGGATTTGCACCCGATCGAAAGAAACCTTGCTATCGCAAGAGTAACTCCAGCTAGCTTCGCTAGCTTTCGTGATCTATAGAATCATTTGTATGATTTTGTCTGTATTCTGTATGTTCTGTACATAAGGTTCGCAGTGTGCTTTTAGTCTTCAGGAGTGTGCGTTGCATGCCACTCACCGAGAATTGGCTTCCCCACCCCAGCACGAAGCAGAAGTGCGCAAGCCTCAGCATGGGCTTCACATGTGCCACACACCCAAGCAAAAGGGGGGTGTAGTAGGGTGCCTAGCTGTCTCCTCTCAAAGGACTTGGCCCAAAAATCTCTCACCGGAGCCATGCCACCGACGCGTCCTGTTCGGCGTTGTCTGCGTCGGCGCAAAAGGTGCCCGAGCGGTGCCAGCAACTTGTAGTAGAGGGAGTCACGGCCGCCCAACTCCCACAACTGTCTCAAGGCCTGGCGCTACTAGGAGCAAAGGGCATCGCTACTAGGAGCAAGGACGCTACTAGGGGCTCCTGGCCATACTACTAGGAACAAGAAGCCATTAGAAACAAATAAAAGAGAATTAAGTTTAATTAGAAGTCAATTCCAATTGAAACAAGAAGCTACTAGGAGACAACTGTCTCAAGGCCTGGCGATTTCGTGCAGAGAGTGGAAAACCGAGGTCGTGGTCGTACCACTTCTCCAATGGAAACCGATTCCGAGCTGGCATGGCCAGCCGTGTGGGTCAACACAGAAAACATGGTCTCTTTCCAAAAAATGAAGAACTGAATATGATCATATACCGGTTGATATTGTTGTTTAAAAGATGTTAAAAAGTCGTGTTTACAAACTCCAAGTGAAAACCCAGACCCAATGTCATCTTTTCAGTAGCACTCTCATCACTCTCTTTACTCCGAATATCTCCGAATGAATCTCTTGTTTCTCCTTCGGCTCACTTGTTCCCCCTGCCTGGAGGCAATGGAGCGACTTCTTCTGACGGCTGAAGACTTCGTAGGTCATGACCTCCAAACCAATGAAGAGTCTAGAAGCTGGAAGCTACTAGTAGCAGGGGCATCGCTACTAGTAACAAGTGCATCGCTACTAGTAGCTAGAAGCTACTAGTTCAGTCTCGTCCCATCTCAGTCAAGTCCCTGAGAAGGTCTCGTCACGCCGAGGGACCAGACGTTGGAACACCGTCAGGGGGCGAAGGTCTATTTCTCTGCCATCCCAGCATCCCAACAGTTCGCTCCGAGAGTTGGTTTAAGGAAGACTTTATAGGAAACCCACAGTTTTCGGGGATGAAAGCCGTGGTTTCTTGGTGCTTCTTGTAGCTGGTTCCTTAAACCAATCCATTGATTCACCCGCTCCCAGGCTGCCCTGCATGCGTCGCCGAGTCCAGAGCACTGAACGTCACCATGGTTCGCACCTGGGCTGGCTCCATGCGGCTGTCTCGCATGGCGACCGCGCGGATCGGAGGAGGCCGGCCTTTTCCACACAAAGAAAGGATGCGCGGCCACCCCCAAAACAATAATGGAGCGAGCTGGATTCCACCTCGAAAAACGGAGTTTCTTCATCGAAGAAAACAAAAACACCATGCATCTCATGATCCACCATACGAGTTTACAACCAATCCATTCTTTCTCCAAAAGATTCTAAAGCGCCAAAGCGCCAAAGCGCTGATCATGTTCCTAACCGATCCGTGCCCTCCGTGCCCGTTCGCCTTCTCCCCGCACCGAGATCTGCTGTTGGTGCCAGCACAGCCGGAGAGGCGAGGCGGCACAGCCACACGTGCCTTTTTCCTGGGAGGCCGGGCGATCTTGCAGGCCTGCTCCATGAAGTCTTGCTGCCTGAAGTCTTGCAGGCGAGGGCAGCAAGGATCGTGAGGTGGCCATTGCGAGGTGAAGGATGGTACCAGGGAAAGAGAGACCGTCGAGATCCATCCAACCCATTCTGGAATGAAAACGCCTCTGTCTCCCCTCTCTCTCTGTCTCTCTCTCTCTCTCTTTCTACTCTCTAGCACAAATGATTTTTGCAGGAAACAACTGGGAATGTCTCTAGAACCACTAGAAACCTCCTTTGATTTCGACTCCCACAGGCTGGCCATAGATGGAGGTTGCTTTCATGTTATGCGGTTTTTTGGGATGGTCAAAACAGAGTCTTCCCTGCTGCACAAAGAGCACAGCACAGGCAGAGGCGAACGGCTTCACACAACTGCACCAGCGACCCGGACCCTGCGTGTACCCATCTATTCTATATATATATAACTATACAATAATCCACTGTACTCGTTGGGGGCTGCAAAATGCTACAGAAGTCATGCTTTGGTGATGTCCGGGGGGGGAACTTCCAGAGTCATCCACGGCGTGTGTTCGTTCTTTGGGGAAAAGGGAAGTGGAAAGAACCAAAATGGGGTCCAGCTGGCCCCCTTGCACTTCCATTTGGCTGGACCAGGAGAACGACCAAAACCTTCCCCCTTCGATTATACCGCCGGGGCACAAGAGCTTCTCACCCTCAGGATCATCGTCCACCTTCACAGGCACGACTCTCGGAGGATGAATTCGACAGAAAAGCTCTGGAGAACTGCTGCTTTGTAGTTGCAGCATGTCGCGGCCGTGAGCATGCAAAACGCCCAAGAAGTTGAGAGAGCATTCCAAGGTCGATATGGCCACGAGCCGCCCGAGGTGCTTCTGGAATGATCCAGAAAGAGGGCGCTTGCACTGTGAAACGAGATCAGGAGTCTAACTGAAAGTCTTCAACTGTAACTTACCTCGACATATTTTCTCCCTTTGCAAACAAGCGCCTGCCCTCATCCCAGCTAGGTGCTTCACCTTCTTAGGCTTTCCAGTGGCCGTTGTGGCTGGAGTCCTGGCAGCATGAACCCCCTGGAACCTCTGCCCTTCTCCAAAGGCCTGGCTTTGAGGATGGTGGGTGGTGCTAGTAGGATTTGAGCCAAGTGTCATCAGGGTGGCACATGAATTAGGGGACCTGTTCTTTTGAGCGCATAGTGGACCTTCCGCGACACTCTGGCAATCTAAACGACTTTTAAAGGTGGAAAAAATGAGTCGGATGTGAAAGAAATGTCCTCCGAGAGCCAAACTGCACACGTCCTAACATCGCCTGCATAACTCACACTGTGAGGTGATGAAACATCTTGCGTGACGAACTGCTCCTGCTGAGCTCAGCTGCCAAGCTACCCCTGGAAAACACCCTCTTCCCACACCAACTGTTCCATGCCGCGATCACGTGGCTTTCTGCTCTTGCTTTTGCGCCTCGACCGACTCGTCACGAGGGGGGGATTGTTGGCTGCAGCGGTACAGGAAACGGTGCGTCGTAACGGTTGGGCCATCTCTTCTTCTTTGGCCAATGATGCCTGTTTGCCTGCCAAAAAGGCTTGATGCCAGGTACCATATTCATACATATGCCTCTGACAACAAGTCAGTCCGCGCACCACCTAAGCAGCTTTCTCCATCATGGCGGGCTAAATGCCACCTCGAGTGCGGTAGGAACTACGGCCCCTGTACATCGAGCCGGATAGGCATTGAGGATTCGGGATCAACCGTGGACATGTCAGGATACATGGATTCACAGCACCCAGTATTTTCTTTGATCCCGAATCGCCGGATGTCGGCGTTGCTTTGCCCGGCACTGCGAGCCTCCGCTCGCTTCTTCATCAGCTCTTCGGTGGGCCGGATGCTAAAACGCCCCGAGTTGATCAACTCGTACAAAGCGGCGTTGGAACCAAGGACCTTGGTTAGACCGTCTGCCGGCATGGCTAAGTGATCTACCCATTTGACCTGTCCTCCAAGTTCCTTTAGATCTTGGCGGATGATCTGGATTTCTATCGCGGTCCTCTTGTCCTGTCCGCCTAGACAGTCCTTGGACAAATGGTCGTACAGCGATTTCGCGTCGACCACCGCGAGAGATTCCTGCAGGCCTCGCTCACTCAGCTCAGAGCTCATCACCAGGAGCTCCTCACCCTCCAGCCGGCTGCGCCACGCTTTGATGTTGAAGGTGCCGTCAGTCAACTCCTGCACCATCACCATGATCCATAGCAGCTCGGCAAGCCCCCTCGACAGGCTCTGTGTCTCTGCAGCCAGAGTCGAATTGACAATTCGCTGCAGCTTCCCTGACCTCCAGGCCAAGACATTCGTGGTGACTGCGGCTCCATCGCGGAGGTTGTTCTCGTGGGCGAGGACCAAATGCCCTCCCTGGGAGTGGAAGCCCGCGTTAGCAAATGAAGCGTCGGTCACGACGCTGAGCCGCATCTTTTTCAGGGGTTGCACCTTTAGGCTCAGCTCAGAATGGGCTTTGAGCTCTGTCACAACCTGGTTAAGCTGCAGGATGTCCTCGATGGTCAGCTTGGAGAGCTTTGATGCGATCAGGCTTGAAGGTCCGGAGGCGTCCGGTCTCCCCTCTCTGCTCAGCCAGTTGAGAGCGCTGATCTCGGCCTCGTTGGCCATCTCTTTCTTCTGGCTCCTTCGCCCCTTTTCCAAGTCCACCGGGTGAAGTCTTTCCTCAATGAACTTCCTCATGTCCACCAAGAAGCCCCCATCTGGTAGTTGACGAACTCGACGACCATTAAATGCGCACCCGTCCTTCTCATTGGCCAGTTGCACGTATTTGCCAAAGACATACTTCTTCTTCAACTGCTCCATTCGGTCGTGGTGTTCTTGGTGCCCGACCGTGAACAGGTCATCCACTTCGATGGCGATGGCCCCCAAAAGACGTTTGCGTGTCCGGTCATACAGCTTCATGATGCAGGGGTCCAGAGCGGACATCTCGTATCCCAGATTCTTCAAGTCTTCTGTGAGGGATTTCCTCCAATGTAGAGGGGCGTCAACTAGCCCGTAGCATCCTGCGATGATTTGAACTATCTGCTCTGGATGCAAGCCGCTCACTCCTTCCTTGGGTTGCTGGAAGTATAGCCGTCCTTTCGGTCGATGAAGCGGCTGGCTCTGGCAAAAAGCGTTCTTGAGATCTCCCACCGTGGCCTTCATGTTCTCGTTGGCGGCGATCTGCAGGAGGACGTTGAAATTCACAGTATTTAGAGTGGGAGAGAAGCGCTCCAAGTCCAGGATGTCTGGGTCCAGGTCGCCCCGGATGCATAGCCGGGATTTCTTCATGGCCGGCTCCCCGGGCTGTTCTCCAGGCTTGTATCTTCTTGCTATCTTTGTCGGCAGGATGCGGTCTTCTTGACCTTGCTTTTTCAGCTCTTCTCTGACCTGTCGGGACTCTTCTAGGCCCAGCACCTTCACCGCCCCGCTCTGGGTGACCTTGTTCCACTCGGAGAGGTCGGAAATCTTCCATTCTTCTTGATCCTGTGGGCTTTCTTTGCTAAGGCTGACTTCATCTTGACCTTTCTTCTCGGCCACATAGTTCTTCGCCTCCTTGATCTCCTTCAGGTAGAACACGGTTTTGCCTTTCCACCATTCATCTAGACTCTTCCGTTGTGGCGTCTGCCAGTCGTCTTCTTCCATCATCCCTTCATGCGCTTTTCTCACATGCGTCTCTCGACGCTCCGTCAGGAAAGTCCACGGCAGTGGGGCGTCGGAGTTGAGCTTCGGGTCGAACTTGGCCTTTCTTTTGCGTCGATGGTGCCTGGTCAGCGTGCCATTCTTCCAGTCCAGCGACCACTCATCTTTCTCAGCCCTGGTTTTGGCTAGCTGCCTGATCTTCGTCTGTCTGGTCTGGTTCTCCTCCTCCATGGCCTCTTCAGCTTCAGCTAGAAACCATTCCTGGTCCTCAAAGTAGGGGGCGATGTGGTCCTGCCTGGCTCTCTGTTGCCATCGATAGATTGGCCCTGATGTTGGACCTGGCACTCCATCCAGCCGATTTGCATCCAGTTCGGATTGCCTCAATGCTTCTTGCACCTCATGTGACATCGGGTCTATCGGAGGTCGGTCCACGTTCACCGGCGGCGTCTCTGGCACGCCTCCTGGAAACCCAGGATGGTGTCTGGCCTCAGCTCTGCTTGCTTCGCTGTTGGCCCTTGATAGAGGTGCTTCTTCTTGTTCTGGTTCGTTGATGGATCTTCTTCTTTTGACTTGGCCGGCTTCTTCGGGATCTTCTTCGTGCTCCCCCTCGACTTGTGTAGGAGTGTATTCCACTTCTTCTACGGCTTCTTCGAACCGTGGGTGTTGGTCTTGTCTTCCTTGTTGTTCTCTGTCTCCTTCTCCTCCATCTTCCTCCGGGGGAAACTCTTCTTGAGTCAAGTCTTTGTATCCCAGCCGGTGAGACCCTCTTTTGAGCTCTTCGACCAACTCCTGGCACTCTTGCACCACCGCCTCGATTCCCATCTTCTCATCGTTGGTGGCAGGGCGGCATTGTTCTCGAGCGACTTTCCAGAGCTCACCCAGCATCGATACCCAGAGGTTCGCTCCATCTGGAGCTATGACTACCCCGGGGCCGACCCATCTTGCCTTTGTTGAGAGTGAGGCGTCATCGACGGGTCCCCCGTGCTTCCGCTTCTTCATGCGAGGTACTCGAAACACGAACACATACTCCCCGGGTTTGTAGTCCACCCATACTCGTGGACGTGCTCGAAGGGCTCGCTTCAGGGTGTTTTTGGCATTGTGCTCGCAGAATGCCTTGTGCGCGATGTTCCGCATGTGGTGCAACTTCTCCAAGTCATCGGTGATCACCCCGTTCAACAGCGTTGGGTCTATTGCCTCATCTGACATGATTGACGTCGGCAATCTTGGCCACTGTCCAATCTGTCGTTGAATCGGTGCGAAGCCAGATCTATTGGAGTACCTGTTCTTGGCCTGCTCGACCTCGACCATGAGCTGCTTGAGATCCTTGGTGCTTTGAATCACCACCTCACTTCTGGCCTTCTCCAGGAGCTCCTTGAAGAGCCCTCCGTGGCGTTCTGTTTTCCCTTGCTGCCAGGGTGCCTTGGAGGCGATCTGGTGGATGACGATCCCTTCAGCAGCTGCCTTTTGAATGAACTCGCCCAAGAACTCTCTGCCGGCATCGCAAGTGATGACTTCTGGATGTCCGAAGGTCCTGGCCCACGTAGACATGTAGGCCTCCCATACCTCGTTCGGGTTCTTCCCCAAAAGGACCTCGCACATCTGGTAGTTGGTGCCCCAGTCCAAGACGTTGAGAACCGGGACAGTCTGCTTCCCGTCTCCAGGTGCCGGCACGTAGAACAGATCCAGCCCCAGGACCCGGTTGGGCTGGTAAGCCCTTGGCAAAGCAGTGGGTCGTGGTGCTTTGGGGTGCCTCTTTGACTCACACACATCGCACTTGAACTTCTTTGCAGCCCACTGAACGATCTCCCCTCGCACTCGAGCTGCGCGAAGAAACCTGATGAACTCTCTGTCCTGGGGATGCCCGACTGCTCGATGCACTCTCATCACGGCCTTCTTCTCCTCCTCCGTTGGGTTGTAGTCTCCGGGGCCTTCATCCGGCACTGGATCAAGTTCGTCCTGGGCCTCCTCTTCGTCCTCGTCCTGATCTTCTTCCATTGCATAGGTGGAGGTGCCGTTGAGGTACTTGAGGATGCCGTTCGAGATCGCCTGGCACAGCCCGTCCGGGTACACTTGAGCCAGGAGCGGCCTACCATTCTCCAGTGGGACATGGAAGTGGCTCTTGTCACATTTGACCTCCAGGGCCTCCAGAACCGGAGGCATATTGGAGAGCCACCTTGTTCTCTTTCTGTTCAAGCCAGTGCCGTCCACGTTCAACCCGAACATACACTGGTCGCACACGACGGTCTGGACTCCGCGGCTGGCCGCCAAAGACTGCAGTTCGGGCTCTTGCCATGAGGTGGCCCCGTCTGGATGCTCAAAAAGTATTGCCCCTCCTCTTCTCAGCTGCCAGCGCAGGACTGCGATGGCCAAATGTAGACGCTCTCGTCCAGTTTGAAGGAGGTGCACTCTTTTCTTTGGATCCATTCGACCCCAGTTCACTGCCTGCATTCTGCTGAAGGCCTTGCATGGGGGACACGCCAAGATCACTTCTGGCCGCTCTTCTCTCAAAGCCTTCCACATGGCCTTCCGCTCTTCTGGTTTGCTCAGGTCCCATCCGGTTAGGAGGTCAAAACTGGTGCCCACATCATAGCCTCTCTTCCTCAGGATCTTGGTGATGCGGGGCGGACAAAAGACTTCCGAGAGGACTTTTCCGGCGGCAGGCATCTTCTTCATTGCCGTTGACAACATCTGCCGCTCCTTTCTCGAAAAGTGGGAGCTTTTGAAGTCCTCCCACATGTCTTGGAACTCGCCTCTCCGGGTGTGCCTCACCTGGACATAGATCTCGACGGCGTCCTTCGGGATGACGTTGGAGGCTTCAATCCAATCGCCGGTGGCATTCTTCATCCAGAAATTAAATTGCCATAGGTCTCCACCAGCGGGTTGCTTCCCTGCTGAGCCCTCCGCGCCCAGCGAATGGCGCTGCTGGTGCAACACCTGGTCCACCCGTCTCCTAGCCGTCGAACTCCTCCACATCCACCACTGGCACGTTTTCCACTCTGCTGCTGTTCACCGACACCTGACACCAGCTGTTCCCCACCGTAGGAGCCGCCGCTGAGGCCTCCCTCTTCGGGCTCTTGGACCTTCTTGGGTTCAGGGATGAAGCCGCCGTCTTCACCTCGTCGAGGTCGACCTGGTCCTTCTCGTCGATCCATTCGAAGAGGTCGCATCGGCGTTGGACGCATTTCCAAAACATGCGCCCCTTCCTCGGTCCGTCCTTCTTGACGATCAAGGCCTCGGCCGGGCGCCCACACAGGCAGAGCTTGCTCGGTCTTGGTGGAGGTGATCTCCTGGAGCTTGCTCGAGGGTCGTGAGCCGTGTCCGGACTCTTGGCCTGGATGAGCATCTGCGTGAGCTTCTCCTGTCGGATCTCCTGCTCGCGGTTCGCCACCGTAGCCCTCTTCACCTCCTCGGCTATCTGTTGCAGCTGGACTGCGTTCATCTGAGATTGCTGAACAGAGGATGCGGCCTGCTCGTTCCTCAGCTGCTGAAGCATGATCTGGGCATGAGTGCCCATCTCGACTCTCAGGTCCTGCTTCATGGCCATCAGGGCCTCCAGGGTTTCTCCCCCGGATGGAGGTGTTGCCATCATGGCATCGTCTATGATCCTGCCCTCGCTCCTCATCGGTGTCCTTGGTGCTGGAGTGGAGGTACTCGGGCTCTTCGGTGATGTGGGCTCCCCCTTCTGGTACTTCATGCTCAAGGGGCCGTCCTTGATCTTCTTCTGAACCTCGGCTGCTCGCTCGGAATGGGCCCACCTGGTATGGCATGCTCGGCACACTATGTACGAGCTCGAACCATTTCCGCCCCCTTTGAGACTGGACTTGGGCGGAAGTCGTAGGCGCATTCTTGCTCTGGAGGGGCTTCAGCACTTGTGCATGCATGATCACCTCCGAGTAGTAGTCCGCGATTGTCTCCAAAGACTTGCGCCCCGGCCGCTGCGAGTCCAAGTCCAAGCACCAGGCCTCTGTGGTGTCCTGGAGGGCGGCGAGAACCAGCAAAATGCCGATCTTGTCCATGAGGATTCGCCAGTTTTTGAGCGGGATACGAGAGTTGTATACCCGCGGCCCGACTTCCATCGGCACTGGATCCGTGGAAGGAGTAGCGCCCACCAATGCTTTGGCTTTCTTCAGCAGCGACGCCATGTGGTGGTGATGGGCGAGAGGCGTCTCCGGGCCGATCGAATTGAGCACCGGCGAAAAGTGATTGAGCCGGCATTGCTGTGGTGGCAAAACAGAGTGATTCCATCTCAAACTCCTCTTGCGTACCGGCTTCCGGAGGAACCAAAAACTTGCCCTCTGCGAACGACATGACGTTGACGGCGACATGACCGCTTGCGAGTTCACGAAGTGGTAGAAAAACCTGATGTGAGGGGACCTGCATGACCATGTTCTTCAAATCGATGACCGCCTCCAATGCCCTGAGAAGTTTTACCGGAAGTAGAAACGGGACGTCACCCTGCACTACGGTGGTCTCCAAAACACCATTGATGCCTCCAAGCCCCAAAGGAATCAATGCAACCCCTTCGACCACCGCGTTGCCTCCTACCCCCTTGGCGAATGACTGCTTGGGAATCCACTTGATTCGCAAACCACGACCGGCGAGTTCCCGTTCGAGACGATGAAGAGACTCCTTCCCGATCAAACCACCCTCAGCTGCCGTGTCCACTATCCCCTCAACCGCTTGGGTGGTGATGCCACAAAAATTCACCTTTCCCTCCTTGACCATACATGCCCGCTCCATGTATCGCTTCGAAGGGTTGGCTCCATTGTTGAACTCCGTCGAGGTCTCTTGTCGAGCTCGACTTTCCTTCACAAACTGTCGCAACCAAAAATCGTGCTGCGACGTGGAGAAACTATCGCTCTCAGATCGTAGTCCCACGTAGAAGGTGCGGCTCTCTCCTTTTCCGGCTTGGCTCGCCGGTGGATTTTGGCACTCTCTTTCCCAGTGCCCCACTTGCAAGCACTTCCTGCACCTGGTGCGCAACTTGAGCTGCTCGATGTGAACGCGGCGTTTGCCCTTGTCTTTGCCTTTCTGGAAGGCGTTGATCTTGCCTTTGCCTTTCCCTGGGAAGAAGCCTCGTCCCAGCCGTTGATCTTTGAGTGCCTGACGGGTGTCATTGTAGGAGGCTAAGGCATTCATCACGTCTTGCTCGTCCATGACCTCATCAAGGTCCCCATCGGCCAGGAAGACGTAGTTCTCATCGTCATCCTCCCAGGCCGCTGCGCCATCGCCGTCCGCTTCGTAGTGGATGCCGGAGGACCCCTCAAGGACATAGCTCTCTTCAGTGACATAGTTTCCCTTGGCCTTGTCCTTCTCCTTGATGACCTTGTCCAACCTCCTCAAGGCCTTCGTGATCTCGCCACGGCCATATTGGCCTTCGGCCCAGGTCAGCAGCCGCTGGTCCTGGGCTTCCGTCAGGGAGGCCTGTCGGTACAGTATGTACCCTTTGGCCCCGTCGGGCAATTCGACGCCCTCCTTGGCGAGGTTGATGAAGGCCCGCTCCATCCTCTTCGTGTACTCGGCGAAGGACTCCTTGTTGCCTCGAGGCGGTCCGTAGACCGCGACTTCAAATGCCCTTGGCAATGAAACCTCAAGGTGTGGCAGAAAGTAGTCACGGAGCTTGCCGAGGATGTTCTTGACTCCCTGCTCAGTGGCAATCTCCGAGATCTCCATGTCGTCCACGGCCGTCATGGCCACACCTGAGAGCTGGCGAAGCAACTTGATGCCTCGCTTTGGTTTTGGCACCTCAGTTTCGAATTCCCACAAGGCCACCTGCTTCTCGTACTGGCGGAACGTAACCTCCGGGTTCTCTCCGTCGTATGCAGGTGGTGGGTCTCGATCTCTCGGTGCCCCCTCCGTCCTCCCGGCATGACCTCCGGTGCTAGCTGCAGCAAAGCCGCCTCCGGTTCGTCGGGGTTCATGTTCTTCCTCGCTCATGGTCGAGCCCTTGCCACCTGGATCCGCTCCACGAGGCTCCGCGGTACCACTGACAACAAGTCAGTCCGCGCACCACCTAAGCAGCTTTCTCCATCATGGCGGGCTAAATGCCACCTCGAGTGCGGTAGGAACTACGGCCCCTGTACATCGAGCCGGATAGGCATTGAGGATTCGGGATCAACCGTGGACATGTCAGGATACATGGATTCACAGCCTCATATGCCCGTTAATTTCCCATTGGGTGTTCACTTGGGGCCATATACCATATCCGGTTTTGTATGCTGGTAGGACTACTTTGGGACTTTGATGCACCTGGGGGCCAGTGGTCGGGCGTGGGGTAACGAGGGTCGAATGGCAGCCCCATCTGCCAGGTGTTAGGCCTCACCAAGCCTGGACATGTTCAATTGCTCCATGGATTTTCTCTTTCACGTCCCTTTCACAAGTGCCAAGCCTCTCTCTTTTTCTTGTGTTTCATCTTCTTCTTCTCCTCTGCACTGAGCTCATTTTCGCCGCCTGCACGACGTGAAAACGAGCGCTCTAAGCGCAAATCAAGCGCAGCAAAGCCAATCAGTTTTCTGAGGCCAACCTTAATGAAAAATCATCATATAAAGAGAAATCACACATGTGTTCAGCCAAGAAATGATCATGGGTGATCATTGGATGCAATTTGGAAAACAACAAAAGTATGCAAGCAGCCGCTGTGGATTCGGTGCAGCAGGTGTTCCCCGCAGCATGTGCCCTGTAAACTTGCTGGCCAACTCCCCCCCCCATGTCCAAATGACCCCCATCTGCCCCATCTGGAAGCCTTCCTTGGAAGCCCCATCTGCTGAACCTCAGACAGTCATGTTGTTCAGCTTGGAACACCAGGAAGCCAGGCACTCTCCCTGTCGGGTATGTGAACATACCTGTTGAGAAAAGGGTGTCCAAACAACATTTGAGCCGCCATTTGTGCCCCACTGACTTGGCTCTTCTCGGGTCCATGTGAGTTTCGGGAGTGTATATTTACCGTTCTTGTTCCTTTTTTGTGTGTGTGTGACACCGTGAAACCATGGGTTTCGCGTGTTCCCATTGCAGTAGAAGGATGGGCGCGAAAACAAGGCACGGTGGTGAAGCCTCAAACGAGTCTCATTGGAGTCTTCCTTCTGACCCTTCCGCAAACGATCCCATGAAGACCTTTCTTTGATCAGTGGTCTTGGGGGTCCATGTGAGTCTCCAGGGTAGGTAGCTTCCATTCACCATGTCACCAGCCATGATGGACTCACCTCACATCCCCTGAGACGACGGGCCAGCTTGGTCGTCGCCTGAAACACCAGGTTTCTGAACGTCAGGTGCATCCCCACCCAGGCGCTGGGTCGGTTGGGACCAGCGGGTGATGACTGAGTTGACCAAGGTCTCTTTCAGGATGTTTGTCCTAAGCAGCTCAGGAGAAAGTACATAGAGCCAGAAGCTCGAGTAAGTAAGGGTGCCATTTTCCAAATTCCACCATTTCGTGCATCTCTTCACCCAGCAAGGCCCTGCTGAAGGAAGGCCGGTCGTGTCCAGATCCTCGCGGGTCCGACAAAAATGCTAGCCAGTTCAGTCCAGGGTCTGTGCACAAACGGACCTGTCGTGTTGCAGCAAATCGCTTGTGGCACGAACGTGAAAACAATCCTGGATCTGCGAGTGCGTTGTTCGTGCGTGTTCTCTGCGAGTGCGTTGTTCGTGCGTGCTCGCGCTCCAGAAGGACCAACATGGCAGGGATGCTCTCGCAACTCACAAAAGGTACCTAAATATATACTAAAGCCCAAACATGACCCCTGTGTTGATAGGAAAGGGGTGGTTGGTGGTTCAAACAAGAGGTCACTCAGCTGTCACAGGGCAAACATTCTTTGTTTTTTTCAACAAAGCACGGTCAAAATGGAGTTCTTTGCGAGGAATGTGCAACACATTTCATGTGTTTGAGTCCAAATATAAAATCCCCAAGACTGTTTTAGGCCAGTCCCTATATATATAAACCACCACTTAGGATTTGAAGAGTCTTGACGATGATGTATAAAGATTGACTCCCCACACTCACGGCTGTTCTGGGACACCCCTACCATCCACACCTGACATACTCACGGTTTTCTGCGGGCTGCTTGCGCGAGACTCCTTCTCTTTCCTAGTATCTCTGACATCGCGCAGGTTAAGACTGGTCAAGAGGTCCTCCCTTGTTTGCATTTGCTCAAAAATTCATCAAAATGGTTGTCCAACCTCCTTTTCCTCTTAAAAGAGTATCGAGGACAGGCAAGGACGAGCCAGGCTGGAGTCGAACCACCAGAGTTTGTGCTGGACAAAGCAAGCATCCGCTTTGCAAGACAACGCTATACCCATTAGGCAACTGGCTCCTAACTATTGTGTTTTGCAATTTGGCATCACATAGTCTGAATGGCCTGCGGGGCTGCTCTTGAGTCTTGAGAGTTGGCTCTGTATGAAGGCGTTTATTGGGACCCCTTTTTCTAACCCAAATCTCCCGAAATCCTCCACTGCTTCAGATCCCCAAGCAGGCCAGTCGCAGCCGGAGACTTTAGCGTCCTAAGTTGCTCAGCGCGTAGTTCCGAGAGTCAAATCTCAACCACACTCGCGCAAGCCATTGAACCATTCCCAAATGATCAAGCGATGAATTTGTTCTCAGGCTTTGCCAACAAAAATTGTCTTTGGCACTCGGCATCATTAGAAGCTGCTCTGTCACTCTGGGGTGGTCAGGGTGTGTCGAAGAACCGGTCCCACCCATTCAGGACCCTTCGGGTGACCAGTTTCATGGCGCTGCGGTCGACCAAGGAGAAGAACAAAACCGATCTGAACAGCATCCCATGCTCCCAACGAACTCAAAGAGCTCTTCCTCCGCTGAACTGCGGCCAACCTCGGGACCTTCCCCCCTACAGACCTCAGGATGGTAAATCGACTGCACCGTACGGCACGTCGGTCTGGGTCGGTCTGGGCCCATCTCCAGTACTCCTAGTGGCCTCCTTTGCTCCCAGTAGTACGGCCAAGAGCCCCGTTCGTAGCGTCCGATCGCTCCGTTCGTAGCGATGACCTTTGCTCCTGATAAGGCCGAATCCATCCAAAAGCCCGGTTTGTGTTGTGGTTTTTCCGTGCGCTCGGAGCGCAAATAAATCCCCGGCCCTCTATTGCTGTTTGTTGTCTTCCCGTGTCCCCGTGGCACCTCAACTGGCCAAGCGGCGTAAAGCTCCAAGTAGATCTTCACGGCATCCTGGCAGTCCGACCGCTCGGTATCGGTGACCACCCGGGTGCGGCCAAAGAGACGCCTTCATGTCAGCAAAGGAGAAAGCAAAAGCAACACTTACGAAATGGTGGCACTGGCAAATCTGTATGTTGGTTAATTCGTGATGCTCACCTGTCTTCCTTAACCAAAGGAGTGGCGTTTGTAGATACTGTTGTGACTACAGTAGTAGGATCATCCTATGCTAAAACCATCGGCAACAGGGATGATACTGGAAAAAACATTGCACCCTTGCAGGACAAACCAGCCCGGTCCCTTTATTTATAAACCGAGCGATTCACAAGTTTGAGAAACATCAACCAAAGGTGGTGAGTCATCAGCTTGCGGTGACGAGCGGCATCGAAATAGAGGATAGGCCTTTGTCCCCGAAGTTCCATCTCGGAAAAGAAGGCAAAACATGCTGTAGACCCTAGGAGTCCAAGCCTATTAGAAAAGAAACAAAAAAACAGTTAGGTGAAAAGAGGAATCTACGAATCTCCTTTACTTCGGTGGTGCAAAATCGTCGAACTGGGCTTCTATAGGCTAGTGAAGCTCCAAGAAAAGAAGATGTCTATGTTAATGAACTACTAAGTAACGCGCACCCTATTTTCGTAGAGTTAGGGCTTCTATGTTCATGTTCACTGGGTTCGTCACTCTGCTTCCTGTGAAGGGGCGGTCCTTTCCCCGATTCACAAGGCTTCCCTGGCCTTGGCAGCCCGCCGGTAAAACTTGTGGGAGTAGAGCCTCGCAGGTCTGCGTGTCGTATACGGCCGGAACAGCCTGTCCAAGGCCTATGGTTCTTAAAAAAGATGAAAAAGAAGAAGAAGAAGAAAGAACAAAAAGAATTAGCACCACGGATTTCGGGTGGTTATTGGAGCCACCCGAACTCCATGGTGCTGGCAAGTGTCTTCTCAGACTTCTTGCTCAGGACTCATCTAGAACTTCCCTGCCCAAGAACGGTCCGAAGCCCGGAACTCAGGCCTCTCTTGCATCCGAAGCATGGACACATAGGCCTATCGAGCCGGGGGGACCTTCCCGCACAAATGCGACCAGGAGAACCCAGCGAATGCGATGGAAGCACACGGAGCGCAGTCGGGGTCGCTGTTTTCCCGTCGGCGGATTTCGAGGCTTCTCTAAAAGGCTCCAAAACGGGTGGGGGAAGAGTCAAAAGGTTCCACACACATCCAGATTCCGATGAGGCTTTGATTTGCTTTGATGATGCCGCTGCGCCCGAATGGACATCGCCTTCTCCCCCCTTCACCCCAGTGACGAGGGTTGCCAAAGGCCTTGAGAGTGGTCTTCCGCAAACAATAGTTGTGGAAGTCGAACTGATCTTCCGCGATGTCGCTGAAGTGCTTGAAGGTCTCATGGAACCTCACTATAGGTCCGGTGCTGGGGCGGAGGTTGGGGCATTTGGAAGGAAGGAAAAAGGTTTTCTTTTGGAAGCAAAGGATGTCGCCCCAGAGTTGTGCGCGGCTCGGCTGAGTATATTAACCCTCCACCGACCCAGAGCGACCATGTCGCCTCAGAACGACGGGAACCCGTCCGTTGAAACGCAAATGCTCATTCCTCTCGTTTCCAGCACGTGAGGCGGTCGATGGAAGTGTCACGGGCATCGAAGACAAAAAGGTCTCTTCCAACTTCCAACTGACAGCGAATCCATCCAAGAATGGCAGCGAAAGGTCCAGATGAGAACGTGGCAGGTTGAGTCCACCACCCGCCCCGACCCTGGAAATCCCGGTTGGCCCACCCACCCGTCACGGTCCGTCAGCCGTTTTGCCACCCTTCAGGTCGGTCTATGTGCCGATCAAGCCGGTCGCCCCTTCAGGGCGAGGCCGCCGCGGCGTGCGCGCGGGTCGCGCCGACGACCTGCACGAGCTCTAGGGACTTCGCCTTGCCGCCTGGGGTGCTGTGGGGTGGGAAGGGAGGTGTGAAGGGCGGGCTGCAGGTGAGGTGGGACGTGGAAGTGGAAGGTTTTAAAGGTGAAGGGGCAACTACTGGAGCTGAAAACTGTCAAGTGGCACAAATTGGGAAGTCAAACAGATTTGTGCCAAGGGAGCAGCAAGTGGGGCCGGGTAAGTTAAACCTAGAACCTGCAAACAACCGATAGGTAGGGAAACGGTAGGTAGAGAAACATCCTCTTTATATACTGGGTCTTGAACTGAACTTGTAGCAGAAGTTCAGAGTCGTGCCCCTCTTGGTACCCTTCCATCGTGCGCACGACGAGTATCTGAATTAAACACAACTGTACAAGACAAGTGCGGCGTCATGCGGACACCTTTGTGGGGAAGCTGAAAAGGCACATCGAATTACACTCCGAACTAATCATGGTTATATACGGCGGCATGGGTTCGGATGGCCGTTTTCCTCTATAAGTAGTAATGCCCTTTGCTACTAGTAGCTTCTTGCTCCTAGTAGTAAGGCCAGGAGCCCCTAGTAGCTTCTATATAACTCGTTTTCCACTTCCATATATGTTCCAGGGAGTGTAATTTGGGCATGTCATGGAACTGTCAGACAAGAAATGTCTCCGCAGTGCGACATGCAGATCACAGGTGTCATGCACCAAGAAGACACGGATCGGTCACCCCTGGTGATTCAGTCACCCATGTTTTTGCGCCGTGTTTTGGCAAGTCACCGACCAAGGGATTGGTCTCATCCTCGGCATTGCCATCGGGCACATCATTCTCCAAGTCATTGCGGGGTGGATCTGAGCCATTGAGCTCCTTCTCATGGTTCTGAAAGAAGACAAAGCTACCTCGACGGCCAACCCAGTGACCCAGTGCTGACCCAGTGGTGACCGGCTTCGGGCGGGGCCGCAAAAAGGGGGCATGGCCATGGCAGGTCCGTGGTTCTGGTGTTTGGTTCGAAAAGGTAGATGGAACACATTTGACCTCTGCCTTTGATAGGAAAAGGCTGTATTTTCGTGGGTGGGTGGTCCAACGCAGGTTCTGAGCAAAGTCAAAGCAGACTCTTTCTGTTTTCGTGGTCGATTCGTGCTGGGGTTTCCCACTGGTGTTGAAGGCTATTATCGGATAAAAATGGATAAAGGGACTTCGGTGGTCCATCCTTTTTGGGGGGGTCAAGAAGCATCATTAAGCCATCTAGCCCAGCCCCATGCCCCAACCATCCAACTTGCCCTGACAACTCGCTGTTGGGCCCCAGCGTCGGGAGGCTTTGAAGGCCAAGGCCAGGCACAGGATGATCAACCCCACCTGACCACAACTCAAAGGAAAGAGGTTTCAAAAGAAGCCGGTCCAATTCCTATCACACCCTGACCACAGTGGAAAACACCTGACTGGTCCCTGACAGTCCATCCCTTTTCGGACCGAGTTCGGTGCGAGGACCGAAGAAAAGGACTACAACGAAATTGAAGCAGGGATTTCCATTCGGCTGGTGCTGATAGCGCTGCTCTGAATGTGACAAAGACACTCTCTGCACCCAGGTGAGAGGCTGCGTTTGGGTGAGATAGGAGAGAAAGATCGTGGTCACTTGCCGCGCATTCATGGCCGCAGCCAGGGCCAACGCGCCAAACCGCTGGACCATCGAAAAAATGTAGAACTGCCCGGCAGCAGCCTCAGGAGAAGGGACGAGCCCGTGTTGTTGTTCTTTTCAATCCTTGGGTCAAGCCATCGAAGAGGAGAATGCCCTCTGTCATGGCAAGTGGTAAATCGAGAATGTGTTGGAAGGAGGAGCTTTGACTCAATCATCAACAGATTCAGATGAAGTGTATATGCCATATGCGTTCAACATCTTTCAACAGTTCTGTCTGTTCCCGCAATTGCTTCCATGAGAGCGTCGGTCGGCCAATCCATCGGTACTTTTTTAACAGCACGTCCTTACATATCTGAACTGCAACACCATACGAAGTAATGTTCTTTGATGTTCAGAGTGTCTTGCATTCTTTGGGCAATTATCTCAGTGGGTGCTGCACATCTCAAAAAGCCCAACAAACCACTAAACCACCCATGCGGATCCACCCTCGGCTGTCCGCCTCTGCCGTCGAAACTCTCCCCGAGGAGGGGGAAGTTGGTCTCCCCGGTCTGGCGGAATTCTGGATTGGCTTCGCCGGCGGCTGGGCCGTTTGGAAGTTCTGTTCTGTTTTACTTCCCTCCTCAGCGTTTCTGGAAGGTGCAAATGCTCCAAGCATCTTGAGGGATCATGAGTCCAAGCGTGTGTCCCGGTGCTTCCAACAAGTGGCTGAGAGGGAGAGGGTCAGCACATGGCCGGCAAAGCCGCTGTGAACCGCCACGAAGGAGGCGCAGTATGGGAACCTCTTGGAAGTGCACAGTCTGAGGGTTGCTGAACCCGACACCATACTGGGACCACGATGGAAGCGGAAACTGGTTCGCAAGAACGGCCATGCACCACACCAGCCATGGAGTTAACCAAGAGCGATCGATCAGTTACTATGACGGTCTTGTCATGTCTTGACCCATCCCAAAAAATGCAAGCACGCATGGAAACATCCATCGCCCAGAAGCCTGCCAGTCGCCAGCAAGATGCTGGTGGCCACAATGGCCGAACTCAAGTTCATATAGAGCATCTGGTTGTACTTGGACATATTGTCCTGGGGACACAGAACCCGTCAGACAGGCTAAATAATAATCCTTGTTACTAGCTTTTGTTTTTACCTGGATCGAGTGGGTGGCATCCGATTTTAGACGTAGGAGGTTCTCCACCGTCTGACTTGACTTGGGATCCATCAAAAGGTCCACTAAGTCCACTCTGGAAACCATTTTGAGCCATTCCCGGGAATTTGGACCCCAAGCAAACAATTGAAACAACCTAGGCTGAGGTCTCAGGAACCAGAATGAGACGTTCCCAAACCGTGAAAGATCGGGACGCTCAGTCAGTGTGGCTCTGCAAAACTGCCAAAACATAACCAGCCCATGTGAGAAAGTGCTAGTAAGCAGGCATCTGGACTGTCCGGATCACGAGTGTATTTTTGATACTACTTTTCGTGACCTGGTGAGTCTGGTGTAACAGAAGTCTAGCTGGCTGAGAAAAATAAAAGACCGCACAAAAAAAAAAGCACCGGGAAAGTTCCAAAAAGCCCGTCTTGCTCCAGTTGGCCGGAGAAACCCCGGACGCACCCGCTTCTGGGCCTCTTTGAAGAGCTTCTCCTGAAAATTGCTGGTAAAGCTGTCAAAGCCCAGGAAAGCGGCCAGCAGGCAGATGCCGTAGATGCTGGATCCCTCGGCGTTTTCAGAGCCTCAGCGTGTTCGTTCGATGTGTCCCAGACGGCCTGACGTCACCTTGGCCTGAGGCCCGCACAGACCGCAAGAAATGCACGCCTTCCCAAGGAGGATCCTTTTGGGAAGAGGAGGGGTCAGTTTGCATGTATCCTTTCCATAAATCAACCAACCCAAGGGGTAAGAGGCCCAGACTCTGACAATGCTGCCCAGACTCTGACATCTCCGCCTGCCACGAAGAGACAAAGCCCCAGCGTCAAGCATGCGACGACCACGACTTCGGTCAAAGAGTGGCGTTTCTTGGAGATCAAAATCCCCACCAGCATCACCGGTAGCATCTTGAAGGTTTTCGCCACCGTCTGTAGGATCAGGCTCACATAGCGCAAGGATTCCTGACAAGACTGGGATGGGACGCACGGCATCGTTTGCAACACCGTTTCGGAGTGACGTGACGGAACCCAAAACCCTTCAGTGTTTGCTCTTGGAACTCCGCCTTTTTGGTGCATGAAGGACCAGTCTGCCCCTTCCGCCATTTCCATGAACCACCTAGAACCTGCGTGACCTTTATTTTAAACCACCCAAAATATGGTCCTTCCACTCTGCGTGTGAGCAGCTGTGGCCCTTAAGTGCGTCCCCCATACTTGGTAGCTGTGCGGTGGCGATCGGTATGGGTTCATGATTGGAAGGGCCATTCATCGCGAGAGACTCTCTTCTTTTTTCACAGATCCTCTCGCGGCCACAAATCGCGAGGCATGGTTCAAAAAGAATGAGACGTCGATGACCATCAGCCACAGATTACGATGCTCACAGGGTAAAGATTGGCGACATGTCGCGGCTGCCCAGCTGAACAGCTGAGGGTTTTCTCCATCGCAACTCATCATGGCCCCGAGTTGGTTCTATTCTGACGTGCTGTAGAACATGACGCACTGTGTGGCAGGAGGTCTATTATCCATGAAACAACATGAAACAACTGGATAGTTGTGGCAATGATCGGGGTTTAGGTGCGGAAAAGACTCGTATTGGCACCACGTTGAAAGCATGTTGGAAAAGGACACGACCACATATTTCCAGAGCGTAGCCTGCTTTCTCCAACTCTCTCCTTTGCAAGTGATCATAAAGAGCGCATAGACCTGAGTCGGGCATCTTCTTTCCTCCACATCTGTCCAATCCCCTCCAGACACCGAAGGCCAGTTGGACCGATCCAATCCAACTCAGTGGTTTGACCCAGTTCGGAATGAAGGCGCCCAAGGCATTGGTCGTGACCTGGGGGGGGGCAAGAAGAAAGGACCCCGGCGTTCTTGGAGAAGTTCCCCTTTTTGCTTTGGACCCCATGACATCCCATGACCCATCTTCCCACCAAACCGCTCCATCAAACCTGGAACGTCCGACCCCATCCCACCCGGTTCTTCGGCCCCGGCGATGGACACCAGGCGATTACACAGGACCAAGAACATGGTCGCCTCGCCGCGCTGGGTTCCGCCGTTCGCTCGGCGAACGGCCCGGGCGCTGCAGTCTTCAGCGAAGGGATGCAAGGGAGGGGGGCCATTCGCAAGCGGAGCGCGATCACAACTCTCGGACCGGTTCCAGGAACAGCGTGGGATCATCTCCGTGGAGTCCGTGGCTCAAACTGTGCGGAAACTGCTGGTTTTTCTTAGGTGGCCACATAGCATGGCACTTGGGTCGCTTGGTCAACCACGCTTCGGGCCTTAAAGATTTCTCCATCGTAGTCCTTTGAGACGATGCGCTCTTGTAGAAAACCTGGGTCGACGGCGGGATGAGGATGGGACAGCCCACCAGGATCAGCTAAAAGTTTTGAAAGGTTACCTATGGTTCCCAGCCGACCTGAACAACTGAAGACTCTATGCCTCTTGTTGTTGGGCGCAACATGGAGAAGGAAAGCTTGCACAGCCCCAGCATGTTCACACCATGTTCCAAATGTCCTCTTGGTGAACATTGCCTCCTCACGGAGGTGAGGAAAGGTGGTGGGTGCGTTACCCAGAAATCTGGGAAGCAGCTGTAGGCACCGATGGTCACCAGAATGCCCAGACCGTAGTGGAGAAAAGCCGCCCACTCCTGGGCAGGTGGTCTCAAGTGATGCAAAAGGCCCTTACATTCTGACGAACACATTGACATGGAAGTGGCTCCCTTGGAAGACTACTTTCCTTTACGAACGGGGGGTTTTCCACTTCCATGTGATGTGTTCGTCGGAGTGTCAGTGAAGCGTACGCCTTTAAAATCGAAAAAAGACAAACTCGTGCCTAGCTTTGAGAGAGGCAAGCAGATACATATCTGCTCCGACATGTCGCTTTCTTTTGGGTGTATACAGTGACATCGCTTTTACAACTCCATACAAATCGCTGGTCGCATTCTCCACATCCTTAACTCAAACCCTTGGCAAACCACCCGAAAATCAAACATCTAAATGGGAGAAGGCAGTGTTTAGTGTGCAGTTTCTGACAACCACGGTGAAACTGCCGGCGAACCACTCAGAGAGAGAGAGAGAGAGAGCGCGAGACCCAGCAGGTCTGCAACCATCACTTCACATCGCTTCTGCTTCACCCAGCTTCACTCCGCCTACAGGACCCGCTTGATATGGACCCGCTCCGCCGCTCGGTCCATCCCGCTCCTGGATGGTCCTCTCTTTGGAGAAGGCAGGACAGGACGACTTCTGGGGCTTCATCGGCTTCATTGCCTCTGGAGAAGTGGAAGTGGCACACTCCTCGTCCTGCAGAAGGTTTGGCAGAGATCCTTCTGAGGATTCCAGGCTCTGGCATTGCCAGGCAGCGAATCGAATGATCAGGCCTGTAGTTCATGGTGAGACCATCATGACCCAAGCCAAGAAAAGGTTGGCACCCCGTGCAAATCTATTCGGTCATATTATTTTGGGACCTGTATACAGTGGGAGGGCTCTATACATCAATGCCAAGTGCTCCGACCGTGCAGGATGCACTGAAAAAAGGGAGACCAACCAAAACCACCCAAAACCCCCCGCACCGGGTCGAAGAGTCGAATTGGCCTCTCGTGGTCTTCCAATGATACAGTACTGTGATCTTTCCTTCATCACTCCCGGAGACGCTCTCCTTCCCTGGAATTGACAGCACCACATCGCGAGACGTGATCGTCATCCCTCCTCGCCATCGTCATCCCTCGCAACCATGCCGCTCGCATGGCCATCGGCATGGGAGCAACATGTCCAAAAACGCACGGCGAAGGAGCCCCAATTCTGTGGATGTATACACCCTGAGGACTTCCAAAGAAAAACCTACAGTATAATATCTACAGCCCTCAATTTTTTGGGATTGATTGGGGAGGGATGGGTTTTGGGTTCTTCAGGACCTTCCCATATTTGGGTTTCTTTTGGGGGTCTCCTATCTATGGAAGCTTGCTAGCTTGTGCAGGCTCTCAAGCTGATAGGCATGTCTGAGGACATGGGCTGTCATGTCATCTGATCTCTTGTGGATTGGAAGATCTCTTCAGGCCGTTCACTCTCAACTCCAGCTGTGCCATGGACCCGAACTCAAACCGCCGTTTCCGCGTCTAAGCTTGAGCCATTGTGCCGTTGCGCACGACATCTCCGGATGTGAAGACTCCAATGCCTCCCAACCCAACTAGCAAGTACGCCGTTACCCTGAAATATTCCACCCAAGCCATGCTTGGCGTTAGCCAGCTCCCTGGCCACGCCGCGTTCGCCGTACCGCCGTCACGCACCGGTTCCCCCCAGGCGTCCCGGCTGCTTCAAGGCCTTGCCGTACTTCTTCTGCCGGTAGTAGCTACGGCCCACCTCAAGCTCCGAGCGGCTCCACGCGGCGCCGGTGCAAGAAACAAACCCAGCTAGACTGCGAATGGAGGTGTTCATGAATGTTGGAAGACCATTTTTCCAGGACGTGGGAGTGAAAGACCTTCGCATCTGCAGGTCGGTCTCTGTGCGTCTGATCTGCGCATGGAAGTGGATGGCACGAACTTGTTTGTAGAAGAAAATGGTCATGCGGGGCCATGTGTCACTTCCATCATTGTTTCAGGAAGTGGATATCTTCGGATTTGGTCCGGTCTGAGACGAGCATCTCCAAGCCTGGTCCTCGCGGTGCCGCCCAAAGCAGAACACTCGCGGCGGCGGACGCCCAGAACCCACCCAGCCCCACCCAACGTCCCGGTCTGGGGGCCCGTTGCGGCGGACTCGTACCACATGCACTGCATCTCATGGAGGTTCGCCGCCTGGCACACGTGCGAACTCACAGCGGTGGACAGCGACCCGCCGGCCATGTCATGGAGCTGGCTCGGAGAGGGCGAGACACTCCATTTGCTGCCGATCCGGAGGTGTTTCCAAAATTCTGGGGGTCTTTTGCAGTGTCCAGTGTCCAAAGAGCCCAAATTCACTCGGTTTGAAAGAGAGCCAACGTCGAAAAGAGCAGGGAGTTGCTGAGCTCCAACTCCAAGCCGCACAGAACACCCGAACATGAACAAACCAAGGCCTCTTGGAAGTTTCGGTATCGAAGGTACAGCTTTGGGGGGTTTTGTTTGGGTTCCGTGTGTTGCGGTGTTTCACCGGCACGAGACTTCGAAAACCATTTTGTAGACATGGTCGAGCAGGCTTTGGTCGTGTAAAAATCCTTCAGTGGATTCAGGCTATTCAATCAACTGGTTGGAATGCTACAGGGCCTTCTAAGCACCCCCACCCCAAGAAGGAAAAAAAGCAACCAAAAAAGCATCACTTTGACGCTCCCACGAATGACTCCCCTCCCCAAAACCGCCTCTTGTGAGTCGGGCTCCTTGGAGAAGAGAAGTGCCTCCCATCTCACAAGGCCGGAGACGGTGGAAGGACTCAGGCTTCCAGGTTTGAAACCGGAACTTCAGCCTTGCCTTGGCGAAGGCGGCCAAGGGCGAAGATCGAACCAAATCAGACTGGATGAATATTTCTTCAAGACTTGGGATCATCATGGATCATCCTTTGCATTCCTTTCCTCTGATCTTCCCTTCCGTTCCTTCTTCTCCACTCGATGTTCCCACGGAAACATTGACACGACGTTAGTGGTGCCCCGCATCGGCGGTGCTCCGCGCTGGGCCTTCTCCATTCCCTGCTGGGTCTCATCGATCCTCAAGAGCGCCCTGGCTGAGCAGGGGATTCGGCAGGGCTCCAGGCAGTGAGTGTGGGTGATCTTAGTGGTGGTCTTCAGCTAGGGATTTTTCATGCATGCGTGGGTGTCTTTCTTCCTTCGACGCGTGGCATCACATGTTCCTGGACCTTCATCTGTTCCACCGCTGGACTTGTGTTTTTCAACATGTCCTCCGATCCCTACGTCTCCAGCTCCTTCACAGACCCCTGTGGCCCCACTCGGCCGAAAAGAAAACCAACAAAGATCACGCGCCGCGGTTCCACCGTGGGCGCCGAACTGGCGGCGCTTCAAACCCCCCACCGCCTGACGCACTGCGTATTGAGGTATCGGTCGGCCAAGTCCATCTCACGGACCTGCGACGGGAAGGGCCGTCGAACGTGTGGGGAAAGGTGGTCGCGACACCCCGAAAAGAGTCGGAAGCAGCTGAGTGCAGCGATGGCACCGAGTTAGAGGAAGGTTGGAGATCAGATGGAAAAGTGTTCGTGTTGGCTTCAAATGAATGTGGGTGGGCTTGCCAGTTGGCACTTGTCTGGCCACTAAAAGATTGTTTCAAGTGTGGCGCTTGCTGTTGTTTGTTTCTCCAAATCATGCTTGATCGACACGCCGAAGAGAACTTGTGGTTGTTCCCTCTTCAAGCTTGAGGGAAACCATAACTGCAGCTCTGCCCCGAGACCCTTCTCGTGAAAACCTCAACCGGAGCAAGAGCTGAACTACAGCCCTTACCTCTGCAAGATGCAACCCTTTGACGAAAGTATGATTGTGCATCACATGGTGTGAAAAGTCATAGGAATTTGTGCCTCTGTGGTCCCAATAATATATATTCTGACACACTCCTTGGATTCAACTGCTTGCTATTGTAACTAACTAACTAAGTAACTAACGAACCTATCCAACCTAACTAACCTACTATTCTAAGTATCCTATCTATCCTAAACCAATAAATAAACAAACAAATTATATACTGTAACTTGCTCCCTCCCGCCCTCCCCCCCTCTCTCTCTCTCTCTCTCCCTCCCTCCCTCCCTCCCTCACTACCTTGCACCCTCTCAAAACCCGTGTTCTCCAACCTTCCGAGACCACTAGGTCACTGGGATTCACCGTTCACCCACTTCCCGAGACCACCTCCTCGTAGCACTTGGCCGAAGTCTCCAGGTCACCAGCCTGAGCAAACATCGAGGGTTTTGCTTGGGAAGATCACAACCCATTTCCCCAACTGAAGTCACAAGCGAACAAAAAGTGTCACTTAATAGCCCCTTAGTGAAGGGTGTCTATCACCCGTTGAGGGTCAGGTGCTCAAACACCAAAGTAACGGTGACGCCTGCCAAAAAACAGAAACGGACCAGCCCATGAAGGAGGGTCCTACCCAGACCGCCCCTAGAACCCTTGGCACTAAAAAACAAAACAACGGGGCGCTGCTTGGCTTTCTGGGTCGCTCACGTGCTTGTAGATCCGAGCCTGACCAACTCGTGGACTGACCAAAGCAGGAGAGTCTGAGCTGCTCACACCGCCGGCAGAGATTCAGGCGGCATCTCAGGCAATGTTACCACCCAAAAGGGGGGACAACCGGTGACCAAGATCGAAGATCGCCACAAACAAGTTCCTTCTTCAAGGCAAAGGTTCACCATTTGGAAATGATTGCACCTCCCCATCGACCTATGAGAACTCAGCTTGCCATTCTCCCTTCACCTCACCAACTCCAGACATCGACGTTCCACATCTCACACACATGGAAAAATGGCCGGAGAGACCAGCTTCAATAGCCACCCTTTCCCCTTACCATCCATTTCCTACTTTCATGCCTAGCGAATACCAGGGTACATAGAGCTTCTACTCCGGCCTTGCATGCATAGAGTTCCACCAAGGTGGGTGTGTGCTCGATGGCTTCATTCACGTACTCCAACGCCTCGACTCGTCTCGCTTCGGCCACAGGAGTGCCAGGTCGGGGAAGCAAACAGAACCTTCAAACCACATGTGTTCGGCTTCAAAACACGTGTGTTTCATGTGTTCGCAGGTAGGCAGGTAGGAGTGGGAGGATAGTGACAGTAGTTGTAGCAATAAGAAAATAGCAGTAGTAGCAGCATTTATTAGTAGTTGATTAGCTCAGTAGATTAGTAGTAGATTAGTAGTAGATTAGTCATAGATTAGTCGTAGATTAGTAGTAAATTAGTGGTAGATTGGTAGTAGAGTAGTAGGAGGTGGAGTAGTAGTAGTAGTAGTTGTTGTTGTTGTTGTTGCTGTTGTTGTTGTTGCAATTGTTGTTGTAGTAGTTGTTGTTGTATCTGAACTCTGCATACTTACAACTCGCACGGTTAGGTGAGCCCACGCGCACGCGCAGCTCGTTGCCGCCCTTGTTCAACCAACCCCCGTGGCTATTTCTGAGGCTGCCTGGAAAAACCCTCATCAGCACAGCTCTAGATGGAGAAACATGCCAACTCAAAATGGGTGCCCCCAGCCTCTCAAAAAAGATGCTTCCTAGTCCGACATTTCTATGCACACATAAATCTTCCAAACGTGTCCAAAAACCCTTTACAAGCCAATGTCCGTTGGCAGAAAAACTGCAGGCAAGCGCGGTCAGATGACGGCATGTAAAGCCAAGCAGCGGGCCAGTCAGACTATGTGTGCAAAATTGTTCAACAAAAGTAGAGAGCCAGTTGCCTAATGGGTATGGCTTGTGTCTTTCCAAATAGCTGTAACAGTGACCACGAAAAAAGCACGAAAAGCATACCGTATGGCGTTGTCTTGCCAACTCATTGGTGACTTTGTTCACTTTGATTGTTCGAATCCATCCTGGCTCGCTGTTTACTTTGCTTGCTTTGAATCCTTCCTTGTTTTTCTTCTTTGGTGGTATGGACGCTGCGTCGCCTCATGGCAGCACATGCCTGGCGTCTTTTCATCCATGGCACAGCACGTGTGCCCCAGCCTTATGCGTCTCCCCCATGAAGTCGAAATGCTCTGCCAGAGTCTGCGCAGCGTGCCGAACATCCGCAAACAAACGGTGAATCCGGACCTATCTGGGAATATCAACATTCTGATGACTTGTTGGTCATGGCCAAAGCTCTGTTGACTCTGGTGGAGTGACTTCTGCAGGTCCATAGTATGCAAAGGAAGCACAAATCGCCAAGCTACACCACCGCAGGGACCCCGGCCATCAAGGTGAACAGCAGCGCAGTGGGGGGTTCTTCGTCGCTCATCTGAGCGAAGGTGGCGGATGGGATGGGACGGATGGGACGGATGCGCATGGAGCTTGCAGCCTTACTTTGAGTGAATGGCCCAAGTCCACTCGAAAGATTCAACGGACGCCCATCTAGTTGGGCTTTGCCAAAAAGTGCTCAAACTACAACGCTGAGTGCTCATGTTCGATTCTATGTACGACAAGCCTAGCTCCCTTTCCCTTGATTCACACGACACCCAGGTGCCACGAAGGGGTCTCGCCGGTTGCTACGAAGCGATGCTTTTTCTTTTCGGTCCAAAGTGGCAAAGGTGGACCCGAAGGTTCGTCCACCGAAAATCACAAGAATACCGTCAACACCATGGTGTCTCGGTCTTTTCCCTATCCAGGCTAGTGTCCGTAGCCTGGATGGAAATCAGGACTGGATGGGATCACCAGGTTCAGCCCTAAGGGCCGCAAAGGGGGGACGAGCCTCTGGGCCTCGTGTTGAAGGCCTTCCTTTCAATCAGCAGTGATACCCTGTACTGTAGAGTCTGTAGGGGTAGGGGAGGTTAAAGAAACCCTTTTTGCATCCATGGACATTCTATATAGCGTACGCCGGATGACAGTCTACGACTCTTCTGTCTCTGACATTCTACCATTCTACCCTAAACCCCACTAGTAGCTTCTTGTTCCTAGTAGTAGGGCCAGGAGCCCCTAGTAGCGTCTTTGTAGTAA